AGAACAACAAAGAAAATTTGATTTTTCCAAAAATGGGGGGCTAGCCAAAAAACCCGTTTTTTCGGTTTTCTCGCGGAGTTTTTATTTTTTCGATTTGCCGCTTTGGAACAATGTAGAACAACTCTAGAACAATCTAGAACAACAATAAAAAATTTAAAAATCGAAAAATGGGGGGCTAACTTCCCGCACTCCAATTCAATATCAATTAATATCATTCTTGTTTATTATACATAAGGATTTTTCGACTCTATATTTTTAATTGATAAAATCTCTGAATAGATGGCGCACCCAGTATTGAAACTTTTTTTTGTACAAGCAATAAAACCAAGGTCCTTAGAGCAATATTGGTTATAACAATTTAAATTTAAAATCTTTTTACTAAAATCGATGATTCATAAAAATAACTTTATGTTTGAAATAAACGCCTACTATAATTGACCTCAAGTGCACCTTGATAACATTAATACTCTGAAAAGTTCTTGAACGGTCACCGTTTGCCAATAAGGAAACGCGGTTGTACGATTACGAATGCGCCGATCACAGACACCACGAAACCGAGGAAAGAGAGAAAACAAAAAAAAAACAACCGACAGTCGCCGACTCGTCCTCCGTAAGGTCGACTGCGCACGCATCTCCATCGTCAACGATTAAAACAAAACAAAAAAACAAAATCCACATTCAATTCAATTCAATTCAATCTTTGAGGTGATCTTTTTAATGAAATTCAAATAAGAAATGAAAACCACCTCACCAATTTCTCTCATTGTTTTCTTTCGTCACTCAACACCACAAAAATCGTCTCGATGTTTGGTCTTTTCAACTAAGGTCAAGGCCCTCTAATCACGTGGTCGCGGCACTCAAGGTCACAACGAATCAACCTGGCAATAGCAAGCAAAACGGAGACGTTCGTTCGTCTCCTCGTCTTCATCCAGGTGGAGTTTTGAATCGACGCGCGCAACGAATAAAAACCGGGGGGATTTTCACGACGACCACGACGTCTCCGCGATATCTACGGTGTATTCCGGGGCCCCGTTTGTCTTGTTGTAACTTGCCGGTCGAGCTCGCACCTTCGTCTACCGAAACGACCTATACGACGACGACGACGAAGCTCTTTGTCTTTGTCGGGCGCCGCGAGAAGGACGGTCACAGCTCTGGGGCCGAAACACCGTTGCCAATTCTCTGTCACTATGTATATAGATACCGTGTGATCAAACAATTTTTTTATGCACACTTTGATTTTTATATATAATATTGATTTAGTCATTTTGCAAGTATTAAGGTTAAAATTGTGTCACTGGAGTGACCCAGCTACTACTTTATCAGTATAGAATCATCGGCAGAATGATCAGTAATATTTGTATTACAAAAATTTAAAAGAAAAAAACATAAATAGACATAAAATAGATGACCCAAAGACTGGGGAGGAAAAAGAAAAACTTGCCTAGTTTTGGACATTTCAGACGGGGGAGAATGAAATGGCAAGAATTAGAGTGGTAGTGGAAAAAAGTTTCTGAGACTTGGGTGGAGAAAATGGAGGCCAGAAAGAGAATGGTAATAGAAGACACTGGACAACGATTGAAAATATACTGGTGATGAGAAAAAGACAAACATCACAAGAAGGAGATTGGTAATAGAAGAAAGAGATTGTACAGAGACTGGAAAAAGCAATAAAATTACTGAACAGAGACTGTAAAGTCTTTACCGAAAAATGAATCAAACTGCAGAATATCTATAAACAAGGCAAAATACACAAATAATAAATCACAAATAAAGGATAAATGAAATTTTGAAAACAAGTTAACTAGTTTTCTGCCAGCAGTATCTTGTCCTTTAGCAACAATATTTATTAACAGCCTTCTGTAAACACTTTAGTCTTCTATTAGCAGCATCTAATCGTCTACCAACAACTTTTGTCTTCTGCCAGCAGTATCTAGTCTTCTGTCAGCAATACTTAGTGTTCTGCAAACAGTATCAAGTCTTTATCAGCAGTATTCAGTTTTCTGCCATCAGTATTACCCGATTTTTTACGGTACTGACAACTTAGTCCACTTTGCGATTTTTTTTCTCAAAAACTATCTGACGAAAAAATTTCAATTTTGGACGGGTGGCAGCCTGATGTGTTCGTAACGAGAGACACATATTATTTTTTCGATATTCCATACAGTTTCGCAAAAAATCGCAGTTTAGTAAAACGCCGTTATGTCGAAAACGGCTGGGTGGATTTCAACGCGGTTTTGACCAAAGTATGTCAAATAAGTGCGTTTATCTGATACCGTTATCAGTTTTTTAAAGTTATGTCCCTGTAATTTTTTTAGAGCGATTTAAGCGAATTATAAATTAAAAGGAAATACAAATAAGTCTTGTGGGGAGAGGAGGGTTTCGTTGAGATAGTAGTTTTCTGCCAACAGTATCTCGTTGTTTAGCATCAGTATTTAGTGTTTGGAAGCAGTATCCAGTTATTATTAACAGTATTTACTTTTCTGCCAGCACTATTTAGTCCTCTAACAACAATATTTAGTGTTTGGAAACGGTATCTAGTTATTATCAGCAATATCTAGTTTTCTACCAACAATATTTAGTCTTTTGCAAACAGTATTTAGTCATTATCAGCAGTATCTAGTCTTCTACCACTAATATTTAGTCTTCTGCAAACAGTATCTAGTTATTATCAGCAGTATTTAGTTTTCTGCCAGCAGTATCTTGTCGTCTTGCAGCAATATTTAGAGTTTGGAAGCAGTATCCAGTTATTATCAGCAGTATCTAGTCCTCTAACAACAATATTTAATCTTTTGCAAACAGTATTTAGTCATTATCAGCAGTATCTAGTCTTCTACCACTAATATTTAGTCTTCTGCAAACAGTATCTAGTTATTATCAGCAGTATTTAGTTTTTTATCTGTCCTTTAGCAGCAATATTTATTAACAGTCCTCTGTAAACATTGTTTATTCTTCTATTAGCAGTATCTAATCGTCTGTTAATAACTTTTGTCTTCTGCCAGCAGTATCTAGTCCTCTACCACAAAAATTTAATATTTTGCAAACAGTATCTAGTCTTTAAATCATTCTTAACATAAAATGGTTTTTTTTTTTCTGCCATTTCCTATTTACATAATTTATAAACAATCTGTGTTGTCTCTTGTGTAAAACAATTCTTGAAATTCTTTTCTTTCATAATCAAAACAAAAATATTCTTCCTTTCTAAACAAAAGGAAATAAAACAGATGTTAACCGATTTGTTAATAACGTTTAAAAACTTTAACCTTAAGTTGTAAAAGAGTTTGGAAAAAAAGGAGTCAATGGCGTAATAGTAATTAACGTGTAATATAAATAAAAAAGCAGTAAAGAAAAATAGATGTAAAAATAAAGGTGGATGTGGCAACAACGTAGAGTTGGAGCCGTTCTAACCTCACCGTCGAGAAGTCTTTCTCTTTGGAACGGTGCAAGACAAAACGGTCACGTGACGTCGAGTGCGACCTTCAAGTCGTGTCGCGCACTCGAGAGTACCTGTCACCCAACGATCTGATCGGTAAAACCATGAGAGTTAGAAAGAGACAAAGCGAGCGACTTTTAGGTGAATGACTGTGTAAACAGAGATATACACACACACTAACACGCGCGATCTCCCAAAATTGACACACTAGAAATCATTTCGGCAAACGTCCTTCTTAATTTGCGAAGGCAAAACGGTTTCTTGATTAACGGTAAAAACAAAAAAAAAAAAACAAAAACGAACGAAACAGTTGAATAAACTCACCGTTTTCTTCTGTTTCTTTCACGTATCCTCTCGAAAATCCGTCATTATTGTTTAATTTTTTTTTAATTACGGAAACTGTTTACGAGACTTCGATTTCGCGCAAACTGCGTTGAGCAATTCGAATTTTCACTTTCACGGGGCCGTTTTATGCGAGGCACACCTCTGCCGTCGAGTTTATTGACACCGGTTCACACAGGTAACTAGATACATACCGAGAGCGTTTTTCAAACTGACACACAGGTTTTCTCGCCGTTTCGACGACGACCTTCGGTGTCCACGCGAAACCCCGGCACGGCACCTTCCCCTGCGGGCATCGTTTTCCCGCAGAACCACGCCAGAACGAAACGTACCGAGCCGTTGTCGTCCTCGTTTTCGAACCAAAACTTAACACCGACGAACGCATTCGACCGTCCGAAAAGGCCCCATTAAAAAAAATGATCGTCGCGCTCTATACTAAAAACAATGAAAATTAAAATCGTACCGTTAGCGCCATCTATTATGCAATTCTTGAACTATATAATTATATAGTTGTGTTGGTTGCCTACACTTGTAAACGAATACTTAATAAAATTAAAAGGCAAATAAATTATATAATGAAAGACCAATTTATTAAATCTTTCTATTACGAAGAGTTAAGATAATAAGATTGGAATAAAGAATAACAATACAGAAGAATAATTTTTCAAAATAATTTTAAAATATTTTTTAGGCGCCATCTTTTGAAGAATCGTAGAACCAAACCGTACGGGTGATGTAATAGTTATAACCTCAATCATTTCAAGATAAATGAATTAAACCCAAATTCATTTTAACCAAACGTATTTGCATTTATTTAATTATTAAATATGTTATTATTACTATAAAAATAAAAATAAATTGATAAAATTTATTAGCGACATCTTTTATGTCATTTTTAAAACAATAAGCTGTTAAGACATAAAAATTGAGGTTAGACTTTAACTTAACCTCTTTAACCAAATTAGTAACAATAAGAATGAATTCATTTTCACGCCTTTTTATCCGTAGTTTATCATCTTTAAGCGCACCCCCGAAAATTTGTATAGTAGGATCAGGCCCCGCTGGGTTTTACGCAGCCCAACACCTCCTAAAACACACCCCGGAAGCAAAGATAGATGTATACGAAAAACTACCAGTTCCTTTTGGATTAGTTCGGTATTAATTAATTAATTAATATATATGTAACTCATTTGAAGTAATAGATTTATTTTTAATTAGCTTTGGAGTGGCCCCAGATCATCCTGAGGTTAAAAATGTAATTAATACATTCACAAAAACAGCCCAACATCCAAATGTAACATTCATTGGAAACGTTAAATTAGGTGTTGATGTTAAATTGAAGGAGTTACAAGAAGCTTATCATGTTGTGTTATTGGTAGAGTTAAATAAAACTGTTTATTTATTAATTTTGATTTAATTTTTGTTTTGAAGGCTTATGGGGCTGATAAAAATAGGAAATTAAACGTCCCAGGGGAAGAATTAAGCAATGTTATCCCTGCCCGAAGGATTGTGGGGTGGTACAACGGAATTCCAGAAGATAAAGATTTAAAAATTGACCTTAAAAAGTCAACTGTGGTCATTTTTGGGCAAGGAAATGTTGCAATCGATGTTGCAAGGATTTTATTGACCCCAATTGATGTTTTAAAGGTTTAATTTGATCCTAATAATAAATTTTAATAAAAAAAAATGCGTTTTAGAGAACTGATATGACTCAATATGCAATTGAAGCTCTTTCGGAGTCTCAAATTAATGAGATTTATTTAATTGGAAGAAGAGGTCCTTTACAAGCTGCTTTTACAATAAAAGAATTACGCGAGATTTTAAAATTACCTAATTGTAAAACAACTTGGAATCTTGATGATTTTATTGGAGTAAAAGATGTAATTTGTAATTTAGCGCGCCCAAGGAGACGATTAACTGAATTGATGCTTAAATCTCTCTCAGAATCGGATTTAAATCAAAAAAATAAAGTTTTTAAACCCATTTTTTTCCGCTCCCCGCTTAAAATTAATAAAAACAACGTAGTTTTAGGTGTTAATAAGCTAATAAATAACCGCGCTGTTTTAACTGACACAAAAGAAATCATTAATTGTGATTTAATCATAACTAGTATTGGGTATAAGAGTGATCAAGTCGATTCGGACATTCCGTTTGATGAGGAAAATGGGGTTGCTAAAAATATTGATGGGAAAATTAACGAGGGGCTTTTCACGACGGGTTGGTTAGGAACTGGGCCAAGCGGGGTTATTTTAACGACTATGAGTAATTCTTTCGGTGTGGCGGAACGAATCAGTTCTGAAATAAATTCGACGAGGTTAAAAAATAAATCGGGATCTGTTTATATCTTGGGATTGCTGAAAACGCGTAATGTTAAGGTCATTTTTTGGGAGGATTGGGTTAAAATCGATCTGTACGAGCAAGATGAGGGGAAAAAACTGGGGAAACCCCGAGAAAAAGTTGTTGATTTTAATAAAATACTTGAAATAATTTAAATAAAATTTTATAATTTTTTTTGGTCCCTAAAATTTATGTTGACGAATTAGTGTGAATAAAATGCTTTTTTAATGTGGAATTTGAATTAGATGAGTAGCGGAAACGGATGTAATTGGAACTTAATCGTTTTGTGCATCGTGAACTGTGATTTTTATTATTTAACCGGCCATGAAAATATTTAAAATCAATTTTGAATACTGATTTCAATTTCAAAAAGATTAATTATGTTAGAAGACTCGAACCACTGAGGTTCGGCGCAATTTTATTTAAAAATTCAAAAATCGATTATAATAATAAAAATAGTCTGTCATAATAATTACAGTACCTGCATTCAATAAAAAGAGATTGAGAATGAGAATTTTTCATATGAAACGAGTTTAAAGAAAGTTATTTAAACTGCTGTCAATGCGTGCATTATTGGTTGCCTATATAAAGGAGTAAAATATATAAATGTTTATTAACGTCATAAAATGATAACAATATTATTAATCTGTCTTAAAAAATATTCTTTTCATTATTTATAAGGTAGCACCCTCGAACGATTTTTAAAATAGAAATTATGTATAACAATTTTTTCGTACCTTAGTGTGATGTAAAACTAATAGTAAAATATTAAATATCAATCATATTCTCTGCTTTGGTGACAAGAAAGTCCTTCACTGGACGTCGATTGTAAAGCTGGAGTTGATTCACCATCTCTATCCTCCGCTGTACCTTAACAAATCGATTAATTAATTACTAAACATTTAAATATATGATTGTATTTATAACATAGGAGTTATAGGAGATAGTTACCATGATTATCAAAAAAAGGAAGTGGTTTTTAAGGGTTAATAACGAGTAAATGTAGGATTTTTCTTAGCTCGTCTAAGTGCTTCTTCATCTAATAACAAGAAATTAGGGAAAGTAGGAAAAAGATGATTAAGATTAATTTACCTGGGTTGTCACAATCTTTCATACAAAAAGATGATCTAATCATTTGGCAATTTTGTAAATTAATCTTCATGAATTTTTGTCCAAAAATAAAATATCCTAATCCACTACCCAAAATAACAGAAATAAAAATCCATCCATTGTACAACATAACAGTTAACATCATTAAATATCCCAAATTAAATGTAAAAATCCACAGCATTATATCAATTAAAGGTAAGCTAATCCTAAAATTAAATGTTTTTAATGTTAATTCATTAATACAACCAACAAACTTACTTTTCAATGGTAGAAATCTCTCGATCATTTAAAAGTTGTGTGTTTTCGGGTGGACAAATATTCCTGATTTGTTGGGTACGATAATATAATTGTCTCGAACGATGCTGAGCTTGTAACAATTTCAAGTATTCAAAAAAAATTGCAAGGCCTGCACAAAAAAAGCAAGTTGCTACAAGTCCCCCAACGGTGTTTACTTTTAATCCATAGATCATAAAATCTCCAAACTCATGGCCCCACCATATCCACATATGCATCTTGACAACTGTTTTAAAACTAAATGCTTAAACTTATAAAAAGGACGTTAAGAATTCCATTTATTTTTACGTCAAACTATTTTTTATGTTATTTTTGGCATTTTATATATTAAGGTTATCTATCTGTCAGTATTCGTCGATAAGGTTATGTTTATTGTTGTAACCGATTTTTCGGCTATTATTAATAATTATGGCGTTATATGATAACAAATACTGGTTATTATCGCATATTAGAAATTCATTTATATCAACTGATGATACAGGTATGAACATTTAAATAATTTTTTAATCAAAATTTGAGGTTAAGTCACCACATTATTTAAAATTATTAAAATAAATTAATAGGAATGTGTGAATTAGTAATGGTAGGTGAAGATCTTCCAAAAAAATTATTGGAATCTCGAGGTTACACAGACCCAGATAACTCCAGCGATGAAGACGACGAAGTCGAGCATGAATCCTACGATCTACAATTTGATACTCAATTTAGCCGTTTGCGTTCAGACGTAACAGTTCGGATGGAAAAAATGGCTCTAGCTAAGAAACGAGCTGCTAAAATAAAGCAGGTTAAATGGGATTCAAACCCCCCAGAACTAGACAATACCGATGTGATAGATCTGTTTAGCAAAAAAGAAATTAAAAATGTTTCACCACAAAAATCTTTATTAACAATACAAGTTCTGAATTCATCAAATTTACCTCGAAACCCATTCACTGAGTATGCTAAATTCGACGGTAGTGCTCAAATTGGTATTCCAACAAGACGGTTTAAAATTTTTTTGACAATGTTACCTGAAGAACAACGAAATTATCCTATGGTTGTTTGTTGTATTGCAGCTGCAAAAATTTCTGAGTTTATTGGGTTGATTTTGTTGAAATGCAGGTATTTGTTATGTTATCATTTAATGAGTTATATTTTTTGTATTGTTTTTAATATACAGGGTGTATCTGAATGACTGCAAAAAACTTCAAGGGGTGATTCTTTAGTGAATTTCAAGGGTACTTTGATATATGAACCATGGGCGACTTCGGCTCCCCTAAGGAGCTACACCCCTCCAAAAATGGCGAAAAATTTAGGTTTAATTTGTTTTTCTCAAAAACCATAAACGCTAGGAAAATGAAATTTGGGGAATATGTTTAGCTCATAATAGGGCATGTTTTGATCCTAGTTGTACTTTCAACCTACCCTTCTAAACTACTAAACGTAACCACCCCCTTCACATTTTTGCTAATATTTTTTTTATGCAGATGATAAATACATTAAAAAAATTTTATCTAGGTAGATGAAAGTGTCCTAAAACTTTTTTGTCTCTCTAAAATTTTTCCAAAAACGACTAATTTTTGAGAAAAAAAATAATAAAGCAAACACTGCACGTTAAACATTGGGGTTGATGATCAAAAGTTGGAATGAATTTTTAATGAAAAAATCTTAGTAGGCTTTGGAAAGTTTGTCAGAAATATTTTTTGTATATGTCAGTGGTTTTCTTACTATTATTATTGTTTTTCAAATTAATTTTTAAATAAAGTTCTATCGCATTTACGCTCGTTCACTCGACGTTTCACAATTTTAAATAAAACAATAATAATAGTAAGAAAACCACTGATATTTAAACGTCAAAACTATTTCTGATAAAGATTGCAAAGCCTACTAAGATTTTTTCATTACAAATTCATTCCAACTTTCGATTAACAACCCTACAGCTTAACAGTTAGTGTTTGCTTAATTAATTTTTTTCTCAGAAACTATTAACTTTTCGAAGAACATCAGAGAGGCAAAAAAGTTTTAGAATATTTTCATCTATCTAAATAAAATATTTCCAATGTATTTATCATCGTCATAAAAAAGATCTAGACAAAAATTGAACGGGGGTGGTTATGTTTAGTAACTTAGAAGGGAAGATTGAAAGTACAAATAGGCTCGAAACATGCCCTATTATAAGCTAAACATATTTCCCAAATTTCATTTTCTTGGTGTTAATGGTTTTCGGGAAAAAAAAATAAACCAAAATTTTTCGCCATTTTTGNTTCAAAAACTTCATGCAAATGTCCTTTTTTGCAGATCTGTGTTATCCTTTTGTTTATACAGGCTGTACAAAAAGTATGGAATAATGGTTCTACAGCCTAAACTTCAACTTATATTAAAAAAAGTTTTAAATAAAAGTTACTTGAAACTACTTTCCGCATATCTTGGCGTAAAAATAAAATAAAAATCTTGACGGCAGTCTGAGTTACGACATGGTGAGTGTGTTTTTTAAATGGAACACCCTGTATTTTTTAAGGTTTTTGGATTTCTTTTGACAAGGTGTTGCAAAATGCTATAAGATTTTAATACTTTAAACTGCATAGTTTTCGAGATATCGAAACTTTTATTTAAAACGATTTGACGTAGCGACAACCAAATTATGACGTCATTATAGAATAGACAACTTAAGTCTTGACGTCACAGGGATGGGCGGAGCTTATACATCTTCGTTGCTAACTGTGTTGCTAACGAAAAATCCCCATATGCAATTTTTCAATAGACTGCCTAAGTCTGACGTCACAGAGATGGTCGGAGCTTATACTGACTCCAAACAATTTCGTTGCTAACTGTGTTGCTAACGAAAAATCCCCATATGCAATTTTTCAATAGACTGTCTAAGTCTGACGTCACAGAGATGGGCGGAGCTTATACGGACAATTTCGTTGCTAACCACAGTTGCTAACGATAAATCGCCAAAAAATGTCATTTGAAATGTCATCACTTATAATCTGTTTTTTATTTAAATCAATTGTCAAAGTGTCGTCAAGTTGGTATTGAAAGTAAAAGCGCATGTCGTGACTTTTACGTTAATTGTGTGCCACCACTGTCTATCAAATTTGTTAAGATTGATTAAAATACCATAAAAATGTTAAGAAAGGGTGGAACGGGATGTCAGAAACGGGATGTTCTAAACTTCGTTTAGAATATATACAACCTTACTTATTATTTAGTGGAAAATATTATAAAGCGTGGTCATAGAACATGGTATCTAGGGTGGTACAGACCGTTTTTTTATAAAAATTTGGCAATGACAATTGATTTAAATAAAAAACAGATTATAGTTTATTTTATTTTAACACTAATGAAAAATCGCATATGGTGATTTACCGTTAGCAACGAAGATATTTGGAGTCGGTATAAGCTCCGCCCATCCCTGTGACGTCAAGGCTTAGGTTGTCTATTCCATAATGATGCCATAATTTGGTTGTCGCTACGTCAAACCTTTTTAAATAAAAGTTTCAATATCTCGAAAACTATGCAGTTTAAAGCATTAAAACCTTATGACATTTTGCAACACCTTGTCAAAAGGAATCCAAAAACCTTAAAATATACAGGGTGTTCCATTTAAAAAACATCAATGCCGTCATCATTTTTATTTTATTTCTACGCCAAGATATACGGAAAATAGTGTCAAGTAACTTTTATTTGAAACTTTCTTTGATATAACTTGAAGTTTAGGCTGTAGAACCATTATTCCATACTTTTTGTACACCCTGTATATACCTCCAGATCCTCTACTCTCCTTCTCCCTTTCCATACATTCGCCTCCTCGCCCTCATCACCTCCCTCATCCATCTTTTGCCCTCACCCCCCTCTCCCAAAATCTGCTTCCTGTCCATTGCCTCCTCCCTTAGCTCACTACACCCTCTAAAGCCGGGTTTATACAGACGATTTAACTGTAAATTTAAATTTAAAAATTTAGCTGTAAGAGTTAAATGTATTGAAACCCCATGTATCGTTTATACAAAGCTGTAAGATTTAGCTGTAAACATAAAGTTGGTCAACTTTTCTAAATTTACAGCGTCAAACATGCGCAAGACAACCTCAATCAGCTGTAACCAATGATCGGCCGGTGTAAATAGCGCGTTCTAACCTAACCTCATCTGTTGTTTATTTCTGTGCCAACAAAATGAGTGAATTCGATGAAAAATTAATTAAAATTGTTAAGAACTACCGTTATATTTACGATAAAAAATGTTCTGAACATAAAGATAAGATATTGGTAGAAAATGACAACACAAAAACCAGTAATATTTTGTTTCTTGAGGTTGCGATTCTGTAAATCTTAAATTCTGTATAAATCAATTTTTTTCTTAAAGCTAAATAAAATCCTTAAATCTAAATCTTTAAATTTACAGCTAAATTCTGTATAAACCCGGCATAAGCATGTGTTCCAGCATCTTCCAATCCTCTCCACACAGCCTACACCACCTCTCCACATCGTCCGCCCAATACCTATTCCCTCTCTCCTCATTGCCACAGCGACAAATATTTTGGCAGTTCCTCTGTCACTATCTCCCCATACCTTTCATTGCATCTCCCTTCTCGTATCTGTGATCTTCTTTCCTGCCTCTGCATATCTATGTTCCTATCTCTCAGTGCTCTGCACTCTCCGCTCTTCTGTTTTCGATCCCAGTTAGTGAGTATCTCACTCTTCTATAATATTCTTCCCTGTCTCTTTATCCATAGATCAGCCTACTCTCCTTTATTTCCCTCCAGCACTCTCCCAGGATCCTGCAATGCGGTCTTGCTTCTATCATTTCCTCATACTTCACTGCTCTATGTGTACTCTTTCACTTGCTCTATCTCTCTTCTCTGCCACCTCCATTCGCCCTTCTTTCTTCTCCCCCCTTTGCAAAACTTCATTATTTTATTGTTATTAACTCTTCCCACACTTTTACCTTGGCCATCGTCTCCCTGTACATCTCCTTCACTCTCCCTATTAGTTGTTCTGTGATTCCTCATTTCCTCCCACAACTTCTCTCTATCCACGTTATCGAATGCAGCCTTCAGGTCAATAAACAATCAATGTATACATTGTCAATTGCCCCTTTTCCCTTCCTGAATCCCGCCTGCCCATCCGGCAGCAATTCCCCCTTCTCCATTTCCTCTTCCAACCTCCCCAGCAGTATCTTTGCATACATTTTGAGAGTTGTGTCCAACAGGGTGATCCCTCTATAATTGAACACTGCCTCCATTTCTTCCAGTGTTATCTCTTCTCTTCTTTCCACCCCTCACTCTCCCTCTCCCAGTCTTCTCTCTTCCACACCTCCCAACAATCCCATGAAGTAGGTCCTCCATTCAGTCATTTGTATATCTCTGCTGACTTCCTCATCCTCTTTAAATATCTCATTATCCTCTTTCAACTCCTTAATCTTCTCAGTCTCCCTTTCCTTCCTGCTCCCTCTTATTTTTCTTGCATTCTTTTTTGTATTTTCTCCTGGCCTCTATATATCTATCTATCTCTACCTCCCCTCTCTGCCACTGTCTGCATTCCCTATCCCACCATTCGTTTTTTTCTCAGTCTAATCCCCTGTCGCCCACTCTCTTTCTTCAACTTCGCCTCCCTAACCACCTCAATTAGTTTATTCAACCCGTCGGCCCCCTCCAACTTCTGACCCTAGCTTGCCAACTTTTCCCTATAATGTTGTGTTTCGACCAATCTACCCGAATTAATGAGTTGTATTAAAAAAATCTTTTTTTAGTACAATTCATGGTCACATCCAATTAAAATCTCCGAGTCATTACGGTTTGTATTTAACGGAAGAAGATGGTGAAATTGAAGCGTTTCCTTGTTTAGACGCAAAAGAATCGGTCGCAAAATACTCATTCACCCATTTAAGTTTGGTAAAAAAAGCTAAAGAAGAACGAAACGAAGATGAGGAATCGGTACAAGCCGAAGATTTGCCGGTTATTGAGGTGCGGGATTCGCCGCTACAAGAATCTGTTGGAATGAAATTAATGGAAGTGCACGATACCGCTATGGAATCTCAATTGTACAAATCATTTCAAGTTTATATACTCAGCAAAGTTAGACCGAAAGTTGAAATTCATTTGGGAATTAGCGGGGAAAAAATCGAAATTGACCCGGTTCAACAAAAAAATTCCAAATTTCCTTTTGTACGTCAAAAAGCTGTTAGTTATCATATGGATTCGATTGCTTGTTGTGATATTGTCGATGCTAAATCAAATCGGGCAGTTTTTAGGATTGTTTATTCAGCTATTGATCCAGGTAAAAATTACGTCTCTAACTTTGATTAATTTATACAGGTTTGTTAGAACTTTTTTAGGTTCCACTATTTGTACAGTTTTGAAATGTTTTTATTACACCTTTTAACCCCTTCACGCCCAGTGACGCCAACGGTGGCGTTCTAGTAATTTATTTATTTATTTATTATTGGGACACAAACAGGGAGGATATCCCCAGTGAAGCATCCTCATAAAAACAAAGCACTTAACTACATACCAAGCAAAAAAACGAGAAAAGAAAAAAAAAAAAAAAATAATTATAACATTAACTATGAAAATAATAATAACAGCATTGATAGTTGCTAATTAAAAAAAAATTACAAAAAAAAAGCGAAAAATATTATATAATTGTACTACAATACAGAAGATAACAACTAAACGTTACGTAATAGTAATTCTCTAAATGAGCGCAACGAGAGTCCAAATAGAGTAACATGGTTGAAGTCCTGATTGTAAGTATTCAAAAGCCGAACGATAGGCGAGTTTAGATGAGCGTTCGTGTTCGATGTGCCTAAAAGGAATGTAGTATTCCGCCGCGTGAAACGCTGTGGTACATTAAAGTTCAACACAGACAGAAGATCAGGTGCGTCCAGCAAGCCATTGACCAGTTTGAAAAGAAAAATTAAGTCTGAGACTAGCCGACGCTGCCGCAGGGATAATAAGTTAAAAACCACACAGCGTCTATCGTAATCGCAATAGGGAAGATGATATTTGTAAGCCAGATAGCGTACAAAGCGTCGTTGAACCGCTTCGATGCGATCACGATAGACCGCGTACATAGGATTCCACACTATGGAACCATAGGATAATACGCTATTAACAAATGCCATATAAAGGGATTTAATGCTTGTAAAATTGGTAAACTGTCTACTTATTCTGATAACAAACCCTAGGTTACGCAGGGCTTTCGCCACCATGACTTCGATGTGAAGGTGATATCTCAATTTGGCATCAAGTATAATGCCAAGATCCTTCACTCTGTCAGTAGAGATAATAGGTCTACCATTAAAGTTGTAATTAAAATTAATAGGATAGCGTTTCCATGTAAACGTTATTTTTTGGCATTTGTCATAGTTCAAATAAAGTTTGTTAACGCGACAGTAATCATGTAGACGATCAAGGTCCTCCTGGAGCCTTAGGCAGTCATGACTAGAGCTGACTCTAGTAAATATTTTATTATCATCCGCATAGAGCAGGAATTTGGAAAATTTAAAGCAAGAAGAAATGTCGTTTATGTAAATTAGAAATAATGTGGGCCCAAGGTGACTTCCCTGAGGCACACCAGATGAGATGGGTTTGTAGTCCGACAAAAAGCTACCCATCCTAACTGCCTGACTTCTGTCAGAAAGATATGACATTATCCAGCGCACAATGCCGGCAGGAATGTTAAAGGAGGACAGCTTTTGTATAAGAATTCCATGGTCAATCTTGTCGAAGGCTTTAGAGAAATCGGTATAAATTGCGTCAACCTGTGAGTCCTCATTTAAGGTAGAATGAATAAAATTAACATAAGACACTAAGTTAGACTCAACCGATCGGCCAGACAAGAATCCATGTTGTTCAGTAATGAGAGAGTGAGCAATAGAGTGGTTAAAGTAATCGCAAACAATTTTTTCAAAAACCTTTGGAATAGACGAGATAATAGAAATTGGACGGTAATTAGATATCAACTGTCTATTCCCTGATTTAAATATTGGAACGACAAAAGCTGTCTTCCACGCGCGCGGAAAAGTACCTTCGAGTAAGGATTTTGAAAAAATAAGAAAAAGTGGGGTCGACAGTTCGGCAGCAAACTCCCTCAAAAAGGAAGATGGAATACCATCCGGACCAGAGCCAGAGGACTTGTCAAGATGGGTCAAAACATTGAGGACTGCGTCAGCAGAGAACCAAGGTGAAACACCCTGGCCACCGAAGACCATTGAGCGGTCAATACTACCATCTACGAAAACCGAGGCGAAATACTCTGCAAATGCACAAGAGATATCATGACCTGAGGTCACCATTGACCCATCAACAGAAAACATAGCGGCCGGCAAGCCAGACACATCCCCTTTCCTGGACTTAACAAAGGACCAGATTCCTTTGGGATTTTCCATAACCCCCGCCTGAATCGAGTTTAAGTAATCTCTATAATCAGCCGCAATAAGCCTCTTAGACCTGGAGCGCAAGATAGAGAAAGCCAAGTAATCACTATTATGGCGAGTAGATTTCCATTTTTTATGGTAAAGTAGCTTTTCTTTAATGACACGAATAGTTGAACGTTTGTACCAGTAAGGAAAACGTTGCTTAGGCAGAAAGCGCTTAGGAACGTCTCTGTTAATTACATAATTAACGCGGTCATAGAAAACTTCAACCATGCTCTCCACGCCCATCCCAGCAAAAACAGTCTGCCAATCGATACTATTTAAGAAACACTTGATAGCTCCGGAATTCGCGTTCTTAAAAAGAAAGCGAACATTCGGACCATCACTCAGACAAATGAACATGCCCGATAATAAGAATTCAAACGGTGGATGGTGGCAGTCAGGATCCACAAGTGGATCGTTGCAGAGGTGTATGCTTTCGACTCGACCGTTAGCGCATAGAACAAGATCAAGAATTCTATTATTAATATTCGATACATTATTAAATTGACTAAAATTACAATATGAATAAATGTTAAGAAAATCAATCGCGCGACGGTCGAAATTCCCTGTGGTAATTAATACATCATCTTCAGACATAGACCAAGAGATAGTTGGCATGTTGAAATCACCTATAATAACAATCATATAGATTTTTAAGGCTGGAAAGTTCAAGTTAAGGCTCAAGTTAGTGTTGCAGAGATTATGTTCAATTTAATTCTGGGCGTGAAGGGGTTTTAAGTTTTTTTTTGCAAATTTCACCATACTCTTTAAAACCCCATTTCCCAGCCAACGTGCATTCAAAAGCTCTAATTTGGCACGATTATTGGTCAGATGCTGTCAAATAGATTGTCATTTATTGTATCATAGTATTTTATACAGTTATACAATTTTGACACATTTTCAACAACACATTTGACAATGGGTGTAAGTCATTGAACATCATGGCAGATTATTCCAAAGATATTTGAAATTTAATTTGTTTTGAATGCGAATGTAATTATCTTTTGGACAGAGAGGTTTTACTGTAATACTTTGATTATATATAATATGGATTGAGCCAACGAGAGAGATAGCTTGCGCAAGGTGATCGAACCGAGATAGACATAGAAGCGTACTGACATATAATGGGCGTGCGTTAATTTATAAGATAAAAAAACTATCAATTAGAAGTAACATTTATAATACTTACAGGTGATGTGAAACTGTATTATCGCGAACTTTGCACACGAAACAATACATTGTTAAACATAACGGTGTGACTGGCTGTGACACAACAAAACGTCAAATGGAAGAGGTTTGACACTTTTGTGCGCATGCGCCCGTCTGTTTAGTACCGTTTTATGTCTATCTTTCTTACACTTTCACATTATCGCTTTCCATCTGCGTCTATTCACCTTGAGCCACATTTTTGTTAGTAGATATATTCAGTTAGCTCAATCCATATTATATATAATCAAAGGTTTGCTCTGGTTTCTATGAAAATATATTTTTGTACTACTATATTGCATTTTAAGTGAAATTCACTATAAATTCGGCACCATATTGATTAATTTATTTTTTGTTGCAGCAAATTCTGGATCTTTTGGTCAAACAATGAATTTTAAACATTACGATTTCGAATCAGATCTTAATACAGCTAAAGCGATCGCTCAAAAAATTAATCAGATTTTAGAAATTCGATCAAGCGTTTCTAGAAAAGAATACAATGAATTAAGGGAAAGAAAATTGAAAATAAAACGTTTTAGCTTAAATAAATGACTAAGATCGAAATTAGGAAAATATTTGTCACTATTAGCTTGCAATATTAATTGTTTTGTATACCTAACTCAGAAATAAATAAGGAGATCTTACTTTTTTTATATTCTTTTATTATCAGCACATCTTCGTCCATTTAGGACACATAAAAATGCAATAACAAACGTAAATAGCCCCCAAAACATAAAACTTTATATACCTACATTGTTTTTTGCGCTATAAATCCCCAGCAATTAAACCTTATCAATAATAAATTAACGATTATGCAAAAGAAAAGGATTTCTTACATCAATTTTTTTTTTAACACAATTATAAAAAGCAGAAAAAGAATAATTTGTTGCATACCACTTTTTCGAAATGGTCCCACATCGATAAATTTATTTTAATAATAAATCTATTATTATTTATGTAGTCTTATTTGTTTTAATGGAATTACATTGTTAAAAAATTATCATTTTAAGGACTATTTCAATGTTCTTTTTGTGTTAATCTCTTCTTAAACAAAAATTACATATTTAATTAATTTAAAATATAATGATGATCATTGACACTATGTTTTCTTCCTAATGTGATTGGAAATAGAAACGATAAAATACAGTGGCCAAGACTCCAAGTGCAACCGGGAGAATCCAAGCTTTTAATCCACTACAAAAAAAATTATTAAATATAATTAATAATGATTAAAATTTTAGATAAATTACGATTGATTTTTATTCGAATTATCGTCCGGAGACGTCCATGTAGTTTTCTTTTCTTTAACTGCTGTTCTATCGGCTTCAACCAACATCCCAATTTTATACTTTAACATTAATTCTCTGGCATCGCTTGAATGACCAACATCTTCAAACGCTTCGCTTGCATCTTTTCCAGCTTGTTCTAACAAAACTTCTTCGCCACCAGGATGCTAAACGAAAATTTAATTTTTATTAATCGAATTTATTGAGGTTAGAATTAAATGTAGTGATTTTTATAATTTTATGTTGGTAATAAATTCACTCTTTATTTACTTAGAGGTTATAATGTCAAAATTAAAATTTAATTTTTAAAGAAAATTAATTAATATATCGTATATATAAGATAAAACTAAGAAAAATCAACATAAATTGTATATTTAAGAAAAATGTTAAGGTAAGTTTATAAGGTTGATAAAGTTTTTATTTTTTTTTAAGGTTATATAACAATTTTTAATGAAATTGAAGATGTCCTTAAAATGATTTCCCAATCATTAATTTCGCAAGGCTTTATAAACTTAAAACACTTAACTGATTAACAATTTTTTTACCAAATCATCGAACAAATATGTTATTTTATTCTTTTTTTATAATGATTATCTCAAGAACACGCACATACAATTAAAGAAAATAACGTGTTATTTTTAGTATTTACATTGCACAATCATAACTTGATATTTATCTATGTGACTCCACGTCATAAATCATAAAGCTTTCAAAGAGAAACAAAAATTGAAGATAATTTTTTTTTAACATTTAAATATTTACAATGCTGATAATGTCAATAGTTCAAGAAAGTTTTTCATTTTATAAATGGAATGGTTTGCATTACTTTTTTTGAGGGCAAAGTATTTTTAAACAATAATGAGTTGTACATCAAGAATGATTAAAAATAGAATTTTAAGAATTATGGATTATTAATGAAATAATAATTACAGTTTATAACATTCTTGAAATAAGTCAACTTAAGTATTTTAGATTATAACTTGAATCTGATAAGAAAATCTAAAAATAATTGTTAAGAAATCGGTCGAAAAATTGAAACCACGTGTATTAATTTTAATTTATTGAATAATTACCTCATTTAAGAACGGTGTAGCATCATAAACGTTGTTATGAATAATGAGCCAAGTAGATTGATTATTGTTGTGTGATTTAACCTCTTCTCTTGTGTATTCTTTAACCATTGTATCGAGTACTTTGTTTTTGTTACTTATTCAACGACGTCTCGCACTTTAGTGAAGTTTTTAGTTTTCAATTAACGCGACACCTGTCTAATATCTACACCTCGAATGTGAAACGATGACCTTGAACAATGTACCCAGAGCGGTGACAAGCATTTAAGAATCCGCGGCCATTTTCTATAAAACTAACGTAATTGGTTCCCCACCATATTCTTTATATTCTAGAAATTCTACGTGATAATTAACGGGAATTGATGAATTAATTATTAATCATTTTTCGACTTACAAAATTGGTTAGAAAATGAATGTGACGTTTAATTTGAATGTTTTTTTGGGTCGGTCATTTTAATAATTTACCAGTCACAGAGATGATTTTGCACATATTTATCGACGATGAAAATTCCGAATTAAATATAGATAAAGAAAGTAATGATTAAAGGCTTAAGAATATTTGAAGTTTCTTGTTGAATTATCTGTCAAATCAAGTTAAAATTGTTACCAACCTAATATTTTCTAACTACAAAATTCTTGAAAATTATTGTATTACTAACCTAAATACTGATTGATATAAAATACAATCTATATAAATAAGTGATGTATTAAAATTAAAAATTTATATATTTTAATGAATTCGATAAATTTCCCAAATCTGCCAATAATTCAAAATGATATTTTAAAAGCAAAGACAAATTTTAAAAATCGTCTATGACGTAATACGAATTTAAAATGCGCATTTAAATTATTAGTTATTTAGGTATACACTTTTTATTAATGTATGTGTTTTGTTGTTACGTAATAAACTAAATAATACATTAAAAAATTGCAAATTAAACACACAGATTTAGAGGAGCTAACATTCCGCTAGATTGAGGGAAGTCCCAAATAATCCCCATATACAAGAAAGGCAATAGCGGGAATTACAGATGGTTAAGTATAACATCATCACTTGGAAGGGGCTGTTACTAGAGGCTGTCCGCAAGGGGGAGTACTTTCTCCACTTTTGTGGAATCTCACCCTCGATAGCCTCATGAAACGCCTAAATCTAGCCGGTTTTAAAACCGTTGGCTACGCAGATGACCTGACAATCCTCATAAGAGACAAGTACGCTAATGTACTCCTCGACAGGATGCAGGAAGCACTCAATCTAATTGAGAACTGGTGTAATAAACAATGCCTTTCCGTCAATCCCAAAAAGACAGAGATGGTTCTTTTTACACGCAAGCGCAACATTGGCAATCCTAGACTGCCAACGCTCGCTAAAATTCCACTTAAACTGTCTACAGAAGTCAAGTACTAGGGCTTAATAATAGACAGTAAGCTAACGTGGAAATCCCACCTAGACAATAGAGTTAATAAAGCTTGTGTCGCCTTCGGCCAGTGCCGGAGGGCTGTCTCCCAAGATAGCCCTGTGGATCTACACCGCCGTTGTTCGACCAATGCTAACTTACGGTGCGGTGGTATGGTGGACTAGAACTTCTAAGTCTACCGCCAGCACTGCGCTTAATAGAATACAGAGACTCGCGTGTCTGTATGTTACAGGTGCGCTGCGATCAACCCCCACAGCGGCCATGGAAATCATGTTAAATTTACCACCACTCAACCTACATATCCAGGAAGTGGCGTTGGTAACCATGAAACGACTACAATCAGTAGGAACTATGAAGGATGAGGACGCTGGCAGCAGTTCAACACTCTGGAGGGAAGCAGTGCTAGACACACCCCTACTCGAGTGTAAGACTGATCACAGACCAGCAAAATATGTTTTCTCAAGGAAGTACCTCACCCACGTCAGCCCCACAGTTGTAGATGTACATAGAACCTTAAAGATCTACACTGATGGTTCAAAAGGACGAAATGGTGCAGGCGCGGGGGTATTCTCTCACGATCCCCTGATTCGCCTCTCAGAACCTTTAGGGTCCAGCACCACCGTCATACAAGCGGAACTAACTGCTATTAAACTTGCTGCTGACTGCATTGTTGAATCCAACAAGCGGGGTTTTAAACGGGTGGGACCGTACCCCGGGCTGTCATCTCGCTAAGGAATTGTTAAAATATCCTTCAGCCGCAACAGCCCAGTTTTTCGTAGGGCTCGGTAAAAGCGGTAAAACCTTCAAAACATGAAGCTTGCTGACTCTCCTCTCTGTCGAGCCTGTGAACAGGATGACGAGACGGTTAAACACATCTTGTGTGATTGTCCCTCTCTGACCGATCTCAGATTGAGGACCTTCGGGGAGGAATGGCCAACCACAGATGACATCAGGAATGCACCTCTAGGAGCTGTCCTAGCCTTTGGTAAATCCTTAGGCTGGTTGATGTGACCAGAGCGTGTAATGGGAGGATGCACAAGGGGCCCAATGGGGCCTAAGTGTGGCGTGCGGTTTTGCATGCACTCCCCAATCCATACATACATACATCACTTGGAAGGTTATATGGAAGAGTCCTGAAAACTACGATAAAAAGGGAAATTAAGGAGGAAAAGGTACAAAGTGGTTTCAGACCTAGTTGAGAGGAAGCTGTCAAAAGGAAGGTAAATACATATTGCAAATATAGATCTATTTTATTATTATTTATCTATTAAAATATTTTTAGGGCCGTTATAGAACCATGACCAAGACAAAGACACAACTTAAAGACTGCTAGCAGCAAAGATGTTGTTCATAACTATGTTGAACTGAGTTGAAAATGAGGATATAAGAAGAAGAGTGACCGCACAAAACTCAATAATAGACACTGCAAATGAAAAGCAACTAAAATCCCATTTAAGGTTTGGAACTGGGTGCCAGCAGAAGGAAACAAAATAGGTAGGCCTAGGAAGAAATGGATCCAAGACATCAATGAAATCATTTTGAATTAATTGAAATCACAGAATACAGTGCGATTTTTATTAATTATTCAAATTTAATTCCTTGTGCAAGTGGTAAATCTTTCGAATGATTAATGGTAATGGTTGATCGTCTCATATATTGTTTCCAAGCATCACTTCCAGATTCTCTTCCACCTCCGGTATGTTTCTCCCCACCGAAAGCGCCCCCAATTTCCGCGCCGGATGTTGGAATGTTCACGTTAACTATTCCACAATCAGAACCTTTAGGACCAATCCACTACAAAAGAAAAAGATCGAAAATAAAAAATATTTAAAATTTTTTTATTTACCTTGAAAATATTTCCAATACTTTGAGTGAAAATACTTGATGATAAACCTTGTGGGACCTCATTGTTCCATTTAATAGCCTCTTCGACACTTTCGCTTTCAAGAACGTAAACAATGGGAGCAAAACACTCGTTGTGTACCAAAGGATTATCGTGTTTTAAACCGGTTACGATGGTTGGTTCGACAAAAAATCCGGGCCTATCAAGAATTTTCCCTCCAAATTCGATTTTTCCACCTTGCTTTTTGATTTCTTCAATTGTATTTTTATAATTATTTAAAGATATTTCACTGTGTAAGGGACCAATTAAAGTGTTTTCTTCGAGAGCGTCTCCAACGCGATTTATGACTTGCTCGTAAGCTTTTTTAAGTTTGCCTAAAACTTCCCCATAAACTTTTTTATGTAAAATTAATCTTCTGGTAGTTGTACATCTTTGTCCCGCCGTTCCAACACAAGCAAAAAGAGTTGCTTGAACTACCATTTGTAAATCTGCATCATCAGCAACGATTAAGGCATTGTTTCCGCCTAACTCTAAGAGGTGTTTTCCGAAACGTTTTTGAACTTCAACTCCAACCAAGTTTCCTATTTTTGTACTTCCGGTGAATGATAATAATTTAATTCTATTATCGGCTGCCATGGCTTTTCCGATATCACTGCCTCCAGAACATAATGTAGCAACAGCTCCTGGTAAATTATTTTTTGTTAGGACGTCGGAAACTATTTTTGTCGTTGCGATGGAAACTAATGGAGTCGTTTCGGACCCTTTCCATAAAACAGCATCGCCACAAACCATAGCTATAGCACTGTTCCATCCATAAACAGCGATTGGAAAATTGAAAGCGGAAATCACCCCAACTACACCAAGCGGATTCCATTGTTCAAGAAGAACATGTCCGGGTCTCTCCGATGGAAAAATACTTCCAGACATTGATCTGGATAAACCAACCGCGTAATCGCAGATATCTACGTATTCTTGTACCTCCCCGATTCCTTCTGGGAGAATTTTTCCCATTTCCAAAGAGACTAATTTACCCAAAGGTACTAATTTATCTCTTAGGGCATCCCCGATTTGTCGGACGATTTCTCCACGTCTAGGTGCAGGAAGATCAGCCCATATTTCCCAAGCTTTCGATGCGGATTGAATGCATTCTTCGTAATCTTTACTTGACGCTGTTTTAACTTCAGCTATAATCTTTCCATTACTCGGACAAATTGATTTAGTAATCTAAAAGGTTTTATAAATTAAAATGTGTAATGTTGGTTGCGTGGTTATAAAAATTATTCCATATTTTTCTCATTTTTATTATTCAAAGATATTAAATATTAACAATTACTTACTGATCCATTTCCTTTCCAAGATCCATCATAAACTCCGAAATTCGTACTTTGTAAACCTAAATCTTTTAAGAACCGATAATTTGGATCGTCCACTAAGTAAGACATTGCACGTGATAAGATAACCCTGCTTGATACTGCAACCAACTTTATGTTCGCGTATTTCAGACAGAGTGCAGACATCACGAGCACTTCCAACTTACTGAAATAAATTTTCTTGGAAGAATACTGGTTGATCTATCGAAGATGTTTACCACAAAACTTATCTTTATTTAAGTAATCTTTATCGCTTTATTGCAAAGAGGTCACGTTTACAATATCTTACAAAATAGGAGGAGATTAAGAAAAGTTAACACATTGAATGCAACTTAATTTATCCAATATAGTATTTTACAGCGCAATAAGTAATTTTTTGGATATTATGATCTTAGTAGTTATAATTTTTTGATTTTAATAACAAGAATTAAAATAATCGTATCTCAAGTAATAATTGAGATATCAGGATGAAAGAAGAAGCATTTTAAAGGAAATTTAATGTATACTCTGTTTTTAAACCAGGAGGAGTATTTTAAATTTGTCACCAGATGACCTTGCACGTGATTGGTTGAATGCGAGGAAGGTTCACACACAGGCAATTTTGATTTTGAATTTGAAGGTTAGGTAATTGATAATTCGACAGTTTCGTGTCATTATTGTATATTTTGTGTTCTTAAACCCTTTTTTATTATATTTTGAAATAAATACACTCATAACTTCAATGTTAATTTGTATGTATAGTGTTGACGATAACAAACGAAAATAAATACAATAATAAGTAAATAAATAAATAATAATTATTAATTTAAATTTACCGCCAAAATATCTAGTGATATTTTCTGGTGATTTTTTCCAGTGTAAATCTGACTTTCGCGTTTACTCCTCCTGGTTTAAAAACAGAGTATAGTTCTAGTGCAAGTGTTAGTTCTAGTTTTAATTGTTATTCAGCGCTAAGTTGTATATTTTTAAGTTTCGGGTTTAGCCCTGTGTCTTCAGACGCTGAATGTTAGGTAAGGTTAGTTTTGTTTACAAAGATTAATTCTTTGGTGTTAGGTATTATGGGCTTAAGTCAAAAATTGTAGTTTTCCACAAAATGAGTTTGAAAGTTCTATAATTATTCGTAAATCGCATTATTTTTTTATAGAAGTAACAACAGCACCAATTCATTACCGAAATGGTAGTTGATAGCTAGGTTACAACATTTAAGAAAAAAAATGAATATTTACCTGAATTTGGCTGACTTAAGTCTTCAAGACCCTCTGATTAATAACTACCTGTATTTATTTTGTTTGACGTAAGGACTTAAGTCAAGCAAAAAAACGACGCTGAGTGATTACATTTTTATTCAATAACGTCCTTAAGAGCAATCCTTAAATGTCTTCTTCTTCTACTTGTTCTATCAAATCGGGATCATTATCAATGGCAGTCTCAGAAGTTGGTAAATTTTTATAGAATTCGTGGAATACAGGTGGTACAAATCGTAATAATGCACACAAATCGTTTTTCTTATCAACCGAAATTGGAAGTGAACTTCTGTATCTTTGCTGGAGTGGATAATTCTTCAAGTTATGGAGTTTTCCCCTTCTTAGGAAACTTAGCACTTTAAAATCCTCAGTGTCGCTTAAAGAGTTTTTGTAGTGTACGACACCTGTTTCTTTATATTGAAGCCATTGTACAAGCGGCCACAAGAATGGTTCACCAGATACATTTCTTTTTCGGCATACCAATACAGTCTTTAGTAAATGAGCAAAGTCAAAAAATTCGTTCTGTTTCACCTCATGAACCTTGAATTGGTTCTTTCTCCCTGTTCCCCTGACCAACTGGAACCAATCGTGTGGGTGGAAAATAGGTGTTTCAATTTTTTTTTCTGTTTCTCTATCATGGAGTGATCGATGTCACATTCCATGTGAGTATGGCCTGGTACTAGGAACTTGTGATTGATTATAAGATAGGGAAATTCACTTTGCACTTTTAAGAACATGGCAGCAACATGACTATTTTTGTTCTGAGTACAATGTGACTTCAGTCACGGAATCAGGTAATTTTTTTAAATAGCTATATAAGCAGGAAGCAATTTGATTGCCTCCCCTGGCAGCTAAAGCCTCGTGCCACATGTAATGCGTTGATTCACCAGTCATGAACGGTCAAATTATATGTCCACAATTGCCTTTTGTAAAACGCTACCGAGGAACCAATAAACGGTGTTGGCAAACATTGATGGAGATCAAAACTATAGCATTTTTTTGCAGAATTGACTTTAGCTTCTTCTTTGTCTGTTTTTTTTGCCTCGTATGCTGCGTTCGCTTGTTCTTGGTGTAACTGTAGATCTCGTTGTACACGGAGCTTCTCTTCCACATTGTTCGAGTTAGTAGCAACCTGTACTTGCATATGAAAGGTGTCGCATTTAGAACAAGTATCCACGTGCGGTTTTTTAAATGAGAGTTTCAACTTATGAAATTCTCTCTCATATATTGTCCTACCAACAGGATTGTTTCTTTCTTCCTTATATAAATCGTACATAATTTGCAAGTTTAAATGAGATGGAAGGTACTTTTTGTCATTCCTGCGTCTGGTATAATGACTTTCATATGAAGGAAACGATGTAATGTGTGCTACTACTGCATTTATTTCTTCCTCCGTTTTTTTGTTTGCGGAAGATGTTTTGCCTCTTCCATCATTCGTAGTAATACCAGAAGTATTCTTCGTTTTATTTCTGATAGCCATTCTAATAAATTTCTCTTTTTCATCCAAAGTCCTGCAAAAACAGTCCTTGCATACAGATAACCTCTTGCCATTTCTTGCCACTATAACGTCTGAAAAATACGTTGTACTTTAGAAGAGTAATAATTACCTGAACGTCCTAGAGCTAATTGCACTATATATTTACTTCTTTCACTCATTTCTGTACAATAACACTAAATTAATAATAGACTGAATTGCCAAAGCATGTTTGATATGAAAGACCTAAGTCAATTTAAGTCTTTAGGAACGTCTGCATAGTTTTAAATTGGTTGCTCAAAAGGGCTTATGTCAACTTACGATTATAATACCGAACAAGATAAGACGCGTTCTGACTTATAGCCTATAGACCGGTTTAAAATAGTAGCAGCAGTTGGTGTTAGACTTAAGCCCACAATACCAATCGAAAGGGAAAAACAAACTGACTTAACTCTGTTACTATATTGAAAAGTGCCATTTTGTGACTTAAGCCCTTTATACCTGACACTAGAGAATTATACCATGAAGTATTCTTTGGCAATTAGTAATGGCAATTATAGCGTGAAGTTTTCTTTTGTAATGTCAATTATAGCGTGAAGGAATGTGAGGTAAGGTTAGTTTTGTTTACAAACATTAATTATACCTTGAAGTTTTCTTTGGCAATTATACTCTGTTTTTAAACCAGGAGGAGTATTTTAAATTTGTCACCAGATTGACCTTGCACGTGATTGGTTGAATGCGAGGAAGGTTCACACACAGGCAATTTTAATTTTGAATTTGAAGGTTAGGTTATTGACAATTCGACAGTTTCGTGTCATTATTGTAAATTTTGTGTTCTTAAACCCTTCTTTATTATATTTTGAAATAAATACACTCATAACTTCAATGTTAATTTGTATGTTTAGTGTTGACGATAACAAACGAAAATAAATACAATAATAAGTAAATAAATAAATAATAACAATTATTAATTTAAATTTACCGCCAAAATATCTAGTGATATTTTCTGGTGATTTTTCCTAGTGTAAATCGCGTTTACTCCTCCTGGTTTAAAAACAGAGTATAGTTTGATTGTGCCATAAATAATTTTTTAGTTATCATAATCGTAGTAGTTACAACATTTTGATTAAGGTTGCATATTTAATAGAGCTGGAGGTTTTAATAACAAGAATTAAAAAAATCGTATCTCAAGCAATAATTGAGATATCAGGATGAAAGAAGAAGCATTTTAAAGGAAATTTAATCTAATTTTATTGTTATTATGATTTATTGCATACAACCACCATGATGTGAGTTACTCAGCATCACAAGGCATTGAACACACAATCTTAATGAAAAAAATTGTTGCTATTTATGAATTAGACCAAATAGATTTCTTAACAATCTCCCCACTACTTTTATCTAAAACAACATAAAATATAAATAAAACGAATCCTTGTAACGGCGCAATTAAAATAAAAATATAATAACAAACATCCTCAAAAATACCTCCTTGTCTTATATTCATTAAAACCCCCGAAATCCAACTTCCACCCAAAAGAAACCAAAGCAAAACGGTTAATTTGAATTGGAATAGTTTCTTTTGGGCATCAATCGAAGGACTTCCGGAAATTTTAGTTATCACAATTACAAAAACGATGATATTGAAGCACAAAATGATAGAAACAGGGATAATAACGAAATATAAATGAGGTTCATGTTTTGGATAACAAAATTGAATCTCCCCCGCATCGGTTCGATAATATTTTTCGTCCAAGTAACATAATATCGATGTAAATGAGATTAAAAATGGTACAATCCAACGAAAGAAAGCGCCGCTACACGATGATTTTCGAACGATCTTTTTAAGTTTTTTGAAAATTTTCATAAAATTTTCCAATTGTGATAAACCGAACATAAACATTAACAAAAATTTTTCTAACACGAGAAAATGTAACGAAATAGCGAAATAAATACAAAATTTTGTGTTTAAAATGTTGTTGTTTGCGTCTATGATTAAAAGTAACGATGCTTCGAGGAATATCACCAGAGATAATTGAGTTATATAAGAGCGAGTTGATCTCCATTCGCGTATACTGAGTGCTAATAATAAAACAATACAACAACCTATGGCCGATAAAAATAATTCAAATGCAGAAATGAAATCGATGATTTTATCGAAATAAGTTATTCTACGCGGTATCACTATATCAGATGATACAATTAATAAAGCAAATTTTGTGAGATGATAACTTTGGCATTCAATTGATTCCGGGTTAATTTTTGTTAACACATCAAACGTTGACCACATTTTTGTTGTTTCATCCCAAAATCCGCATTTATATGCTTTGTTATCTTCACGAGGAAAATTTAAAATAATCGGTTTTGAAAAGTTATTAAATTTTTTAATCCCCACAAATTTAATATCGACAACTTTCCCATAAATTTCGTCATTTTTTAAAAATAATTTATTATTTTCAAAGTTAATAACGTTCATTACAAAATCTTTTTCTTCTTTTGCAGTTAATTTTAACGATTTTAAAAAAGCTTTGGTTAAAGCGACATCATATCCATTAAATTTTTTTATTTTAAATGGATTTAATGAAAAATATTTGATATCGCCGTGACTTTTAATTACATTGGAATTATTTTTTGTGCTAAATATTGTAACGAAACGTTCGATATTCTTAATTATTTTTGATTTTGTGGTTTGTGATTCAATTGGTAGCTTTGAAATTGTATTAATGATTGAAAAAATTTCATTCTCCCACGATTCATTAAAACTTGGTGTGCTTTCGAAAATATTTATGATGATATGGGCGTCGATTTCGCTTAATTTTTGATTCATTATAATGTTTTGTAGGTCATCCAGATTTTTTTTTGAGTTAATAACATTAATTTTTAATAATTCGGTTGTTATGGGTGGTAAAGTTTTGTTAAAACAATCAATTTCTTCCTCCCATTCACCCCCGTTAAAGTTATCACCTCCACATTTTCTTGCAATAAATTGATTATTTTTGTTTAAACATAAATCTTGAGGGTAAGCTGTTTCCCCAATTAAAGTTTTTGGCCAAATCGAATTAGTTTTGTTCGATTTTTCCTTAAAACAATACTTCGTACTTTTAATTTCTTTTAAATTTTTTAAATTTAATTCATTTTCAACGTACATCATTATCTGAGTTTTGCTATAAAGTCCAACTTTATGATCCATTTGAATTAGGTAGCTAATTTTAGTTTCATTAACGACACAAATTTCGTTACTTGCTTTATCAATCATTTTTGAGAATGTTGCATAAAAAACTTCATGTTTGTGCTTAATCTGTTGATTTCCAAAAATTAAATTACTTGCAACCGGTTTAATTCTCCCCGAAGCATAACTACAACAATAAAAAATGCTTAATTTTGTAATGTTATTATAATTAAAAGAATATCTTCTCGTCGTTGAATTTTCGTTTAATTGATCATCCTCGAGATTCATTTTAATCTCTGTGGCATAATTTCGGTGTAGCTTACTTTGTTGTAAACACAAAATCTTCAAAGCTTTTTCAGGTTGATCCAAAAATGTATCCAAAACGATCTTTTCATTTTCAACATCCAAAAATAAATTTAATTTTAACGAATTATCCGATTTTGAAATGTCAAGAAACTCCTCAACGTGGTAAGAACAATTTAAATCGGGGCTAAATTCTTCATCTTTGTTTTTGTAGTGATGATTCAAAGAGTATGTAGTGTTGAGTTCGCGTAATTTAGGACAATTCGATTTCGAAATCGTTACATTTAAGTAACAATAATCACCATAAGTAATAAATCCTTTAGGACATTCGAAGTCGAAGTAAAAGTTATTTTTTGCCTCTTCAGCCTTTGTGGGTTTTATCTTAAATTCTTGATTCACAACCCATTGGAACTTATTCTAAAACAAAATGTTTATCTTTAAATTGATACAAAAATCAAAATTACCTCTTCACAAAAAACGTCTTGAAGAGAAAGTAATAAAACGCAACAAAAAATAAACATCATCTTTGAATTAACACTTAAAAATGAAATAAACGATTTTAAATTATTTATTTAAATGTTACAGGATGTGTCATTTCGATAACAAAATGTTAGACCACAATAACCAATATTCTGCGTTTTTAAATAAATGGAAATTAGTAATCAACTTAATTAGCAAATATCAAATTCTTAAATTTGAACACCGAAAATTTATTTTCATTAAGTTTAGTTTATCTTTAGAATATCTCAAGGTGATCTGATACGTCTTCTATTTTACAAAAAGAAAACACTTCAAATATATCTTTATCTATTTTTATAAATTTTTATGATTTTAAATTAAATCAAAAGCAGTTTAAAAAAATCGTATCTCAAGAAATAATTGAGATATAATAAGAAGGAAATTTAATGTAATTTGATTGTTCCATAAATAATTTCTTAGTTACCATAATCGTAGTAGTTACAACATTTTGATTAAGGTTGCATATTTAATAGTTTTATCCTATCTCAAAAAATAATTGAGATGTCATAAAATAAAAAGTAATAATTTCTTAAACTAAAATTAGAACTAACACTAGAAACTTTCGGGTTTTGCCGTGCGTCTTTTAATAAAAGGTTTGCCGAAACTGGTTCGAAGTGACGAGATCAAAAATCGGTAACTATATATAAGTCGGAAAAACTAATTAATAATCAGTTAACGCTAATTACAAGCTAATTAATAACTAATTGCGTCGCGTCCGGTGTGAGGCGGGAAGAGGTCTTCGTGTTCACCACCATCTTCCATGTTCTGCTAAGCTCCCAGCCATCCTCTCTGTTAACGTTATTTTTATGTCGGTGGATCTCTATGGCTTCTCTTGTCAGTCTTTGGTAGTATCTGTTGTCCCTAGCCAGCACCTTTGTTTGTTCGAAGTCTATTCGGTGCCCCTCTGCATGGCAATGTTCCGCAACCGCCGACTGCTGGATCTTCTTCAGCCTTACATCCCTCTCATGCTCCTTGATGCGGCACTCGACGTTGCGTCCAGTTTGGCCAACATAAACCTTCCCACAACTACACGATAGTCGATAGACTCCCGCTCCTTTTAATGGAGTTAGTTTGTCCTTGGCTATCGGGAGTGTGTTCCGAATTTTGCTGACCGTGCCGTACCGCACTACGATGTCGTTCTTCTTGAGGTGCCTAGCAATTCGTTCCGTTACACCTGAAACATAGGGAAGACAGATAAATCCAAGTGGTTTTGTACTTACCGTGTCCTCTTTCTGCTTTCGCTGCTTGATGGCCTGGTTGATGTCCCTCGAAGTGTATCCATTCTTCTGCAGCACGCCTCGTAGAAAGTGTTGCTCCTTCTTCAAGTTCTCTCCTTCACATAGTCTCGCTGCTCGCTGAAATAATGTACGGATCACGGACCTCTTCTGTTGGGGATGATGATGTGAACATGCCTGTAAATACCTGTTGGTATGGGTCTTCTTTCGGTATACACCAAGTTCTATATCTCCATTTGTCGTCCTGGTGACCAACACATCTAGGAAAGGTAGTTTTTTGGCAGTTTCTGTTTCCATGGTGAACTTAATCATAGGATGTTGAGAGTTCAAGTGATCCAAGAACTCTTGGAGCCGTTTTTGACCATGTTGCCATATCACAAACGTGTCATCCACATATCGGAGCCATAGTTTTGGTTTCCACTGGCTCTTCTTCAAAGCGTCCTCTTCGAATAATTCCATGTAGAAATTAGCTATAACTGGCGATAGTGGAGATCCCATGGCTGCCCCTTCGAACTGCTCGTAAAATTCTCCTTTCCAGCTGAAATACGTCGACGATAAGCAATACTCCACCAGATCTGGCACGTATCCTGGTAAACCCTCCGGAATGAGTTTTCGGCGAAGACCCTCTACAGCATCCTTAACTGGTACCCTAGTAAAAAGGGATTCCACATCGAAACTTACCAACATATCCCCAGCATCCAGCTTTACACCTTTTACCGATTCCACAAAATGTGTAGAATCCCTGACATACGATTCCGTGTTACCTGTAAAGGGGGACAGAATCTTTGCAAGATGTTTAGCCAGCTGGTATGTTGGGGAGTTGATGGCGCTGACGATAGGGCGGAGGGGGACGTCTGGTTTGTGAATCTTCGGTAGTCCGTAGATTCTTGGTGGTACCGGCGCCTGCACAAACAAACCTTTCTGCTGTTCTGCTGGAATTCCTGTGGATTTTATCAGTTCCTTCATTTTTCTAACGATTTTGTCTGTGGGGTCCTTCTTGATCTTCCTGTAGGTGGCTGGGTCCAGTAAGTTCATCATTTTGTCGTCGTATTCTTTCCTGTCCATAACAACGGTGGCATTCCCCTTGTCTGCTGGTAACACGACGATTTCTGATTTTTCTTTTATAGATCGGAGTGCCTTCTTTTCACCAACCGTCAAGTTGGATTTTGGTGGTTTTGCTGACTTCAATACTCTCGCAACTTCTTGTCGGATCTCTTCGGCTTTCAGTGCAGGCATCCCTCGAACAGCTGCTTCCACTTCGCAGATGATTTCCTCCTTTGGGACCTTCTTCGGGGCGATTGCGTAGTTCAATCCTTTGGCGAGCACAGAGGTTTCGTCTTTCGTTAGTGGGACATTCGATCTGTTAATGACGATTGTTTCTACTGGTAAACTATTACTTTTCTTCTTTTGCGACCGGCGTTCCAGAGATTCAAACTTCTTGATGTGTGTGTCACGGGTCTTCTGAAATTCGCGATTAGCCTTCTCCATTGTTAGTCTGTCCACTTTGTCCCAGTCTTCTCCGGATATACAATTGGAAAGTGAGAGGTGGAGTCGTAGTAACTTCTCACTTATTTTTTGTAGATCATTGAAGGTCTTGTGGATTCTTTCTCGTAGCAGTGCTTGTTCTGTCCTAATCAAAATTCTACGTGCTGCAGCGGAGTCGATGTGGTGCTTCACCTTCAAGAAGGTTGGCGTTACTTTCTTCTCTCTGCATCTTCGTAAAAAGGCCAAACTGCTCAACAGCTTGCGTTGTCTAATTCGTGAGTTATCCAAATCCTTGATTTGTTTGTTGATATCCTCCCCATAAAGGTTAATAATATAAGTACGAAGGCTTTCACGGCCTTCGTACGAAAGTTTCTAGTGTTAGTTCTAATTTTAGTTTAATTCACACCGGCCGTGAAAGCCTTCGTACTTATAATAATTTCTTAGTTATAATAATCTTAGTAGATATGATTCTTTTGGATCTATCTAATTTATATGCATTAATTTGGTTTACCTTTAGTATATCTGCAAGGTGATCTGATTACGTCTTCCATTATATAAAAAGAAAATCAAAGATCGTTTTTTTGTGATTAATAAATACTTTTGCTATCATCCAAAAAAAACACTTCAATTTAATTTTTATCTTTTTTTATAAATTTAAAAGGAAAAGTACAAAAGTTTTAGAAGTACACCAACCTTTCCGTTGGTCAAGTTGAAATTGAATTAATTACACCATGAAAATCGCAATAATTATAAGTGTGTTTTTAGTCTCTTCTATTATTTCTTGTTCTTCCGCTTCGAACGCAACTAAAGATTTAAATCCAGAAGATTATAGATTACCGAGGAATGTTGCTCCAATTCAATACGAAGTTTTGTTGGTTCCAAACTTTGAAACTGATACTTTCGCCGGAAACGTAGTCATCTATATTAATATTTTAGAAGCAACCAGCTCAATTACGTTACATTCAAGAGATCTAAAAATTTATTTGGAAAATATTAATTTTAGTTGTGCAAAAGCTGGGGATTTTTATCCAGTTTCCATTGAATTTTCTGAAGATGATCGACAATTTTTTATAATTAATCTTCCAGTTACTCTTGAATCAGGGGATGTTTGCACTTGTATGATTTACCAATTCGAAGGGATTTTACACGTCGATCATGAAGGATTTTATTTGGCTAAATACACCAATGAAGATGGTGAAGTGCGAAAATTGGCAACAACACAATTTCAACCCACAGCAGCTAGAAGAGCGTTTCCGTGTTTTGATGAACCCGCCATAAAAGCTTTCTTTAAGTTTACCATTATGAGACCACACGATTATATAAGTATTACAAACACCGAATTGAGTTATTCAGAGTAAATTATTCAACAAAGTATTTAAAAAAAATTAATCTTATTTGATTTAGGGAAGTCAATGATGTTAGTGTAGTTGACTTTTTTCAACAATCCCATAACGTGATGTCAACGTATTTGGTGGCCATCGTTGTTGCTGATTTTAAGTACGTACAAGATGGGAGTCATAGAGTTTTGGGCAGACCACAATTCATTAACGAAGGTCGGGGAAGTTATGCTTTATCCCAAAGTAAACCTTTACTTTATGGAATTGAAGACATCGTTAATGTTGATTATAGTTGGCCTAAAATGGATCAAGTTGGGATACCAGATGATTATTTTTGGGCTGGAGCTATGGAAAATTGGGGACTGGTAACTTATAGGTAAATTGAAAATAAATTTGAAACACGAATTAATATTATCTATTTTTTAGGGAATCATTATTACTCTACAAAGAAGGTTTGACATCAAGCCAAGGTAAACAAAACATAATTTTAATTATGGCTCACGAATATGGTCACAAATGGTTTGGAAATCTGGTAACACCAGATTGGTGGAATGTTTTATGGGTTAGCGAAGGTTTTGCAAGTTATTTCGATTATTTTGGACCGGCAATTGATACGGTATTAAAACATTTTTTATGATAATAAAAAAGAATTAAAAAAATAAGTTTTAGGTTGAACCTGGAATGGAAATGGATGCACAATTTGCTATAAGACATACTCAAAATGCTTTAAGACAAGATAGTGCGATGAATACAACCCCGATGCGCCGAGAAATAAACAGTGTTAGCACACCAGCTGAAGTCATGAGCATGTTTAATTTTGTTGTTTATCCAAAAGCTGCGTCAGTTATAAGAATGGTGGAACAAATTTTAACAACTCCCGTTTTTCGACTGGGGTTAACAAATTACTTAGACACGCTGTAAAAAAATTACTTTTTTATTCACTTCCTACACTAATTTTTTTATATATTTTTAGCCAATACACCACAGCTATTTCTGAAGATTTATATCGGTTTTGGCAAGAAGCTGTTGATTCCAGCGGGATTTCTTATTTACCACAATACGAAAATGTATCATCAATAATGTTAACGTGGGAATTAAATGCTGGTTATCCTTTACTTACTATTAGCAGAAATTATGCCACCGGTAATGTTAATTTTGAACAACGAAGATTTCTCGAAACAAATGTCGACGATCCATCAATTTGGAGCATCCCAATAAGTTATTCAACCACATCCTTCTTAAATTTCGCCAATACAGAACCACTAACCTGGCTTCTTGATCGATTTGATTCAGAATCACTCGATATCTCATCAAATGAATGGTTAATTGTAAATAACCAACAATCGGGATATTTCAGAGTTAATTATGACATTACTAATTGGTATTTGATCATCAGTTATCTAAATACAGTTGACTTCGACTTGATTCATCGAAATAATCGTGCCCAATTAATCGACGATTCATTCACTTTGGCTCGATTTGGTGTTATAGATTATTTCATTCCTTTAGATTTGAGTTTATATTTAATAAGGGAAACAGATTTTATTCCTTTATGGCCGTATTTCCAAACACTTTCTTTCTTGGATATTTACATGCAAAATAGTGCATTTTTAACGCAATACAGGGTAAGAAAATGAATTCGAAATTTTATAATTATTAAGTTAATCGTTTTTTAGAATTATTTCCAAGGCGTTTTAAGCACCGCTTTTAACACGGTTGGATTGAGCGAAAATTCCAATGATAGTCATTTAGTGAAGTTATTGCGTCCACAACTTTTGCATTGGATATGTAGACACGGACATCTTTCGTGTCGATTCCATTCCTTGACGGAAATTCGTAATTGGAGAGATAATGGAGTTTTGGTTCCTCCAAATGTTCAAACGGTTTACGCTTGTTCTGCACTTAGAGTTGGAAACCAAGGGGATTTCGATTTCCTTTACAACCTATACTTAACTTCTGAACTTCAAGTTCGCGAAAGAATGATACCGGCTTTGGGTTGTGCCGAAAATGAGGAAGTTTTGGAAAATTATTTAAACATTATTTTGGCGGAGAATAGCACGATTTTATCACAAGATCGTTTGCCAGCTTTAAACGCGATTCATGGAGCTGGTTCTATTGGACTTGAATACTTTTATTCATATTTTAAACAAAATTACGGTTTATTTAGGGCGAGATTTTCTGAAAGTCAATTTAGATCTATTGTTAATTCGTTAGCGAATCGGTTTACAACAGAAACTCAATTACAAGATGTAAATAATAATTTAGATTTAATTTTTCAAGTTAATTCATTATTTCTTTTTTTAGTTCCGTGAGTTTTCAACTCTTTCCGATGCAGCTGAATTATTTGAAACAGCTATTAACAACACTTCATCAAACGTGCAATGGGGTACAAGAAATGTTCCACGCATTGGAGCTTGGCTTACAACAAGAAGTAATGTTTTGTAATTAAAAATGTAATTATAAATTAAAAATAACTAATTCAAGCAAAAATAACTTTTTTAATTTCAATTTGATTCTTTACTAGTTATTTTAATCATAATACGTGGTAATATCATCTTTTAGATTAACTTTGATACAGTGTGATACCATTACATAGTCCAAAAACTCTTCTTTATCATTCGACACTTTATAAAGCAGATATTTATTATCCTCCATCTGTAAGATTTAATCGAAATCGCTTGATCTTGAATGCCGAAAGACAAATGTAATTGAAGAATCAAACATCTCTGAAATTTGTGGACCGACTAAGTCCTAAAGCAAGTTGAGGTATCTCTCACCAGTGACAGTTCCGTTAAAAAAATGGTCCTATAATGCCCAATGCGGATACAATTATAGCGATTAATTGACCCATTTAATGCCTCATCGCTCCACACATCTTCAACCCTGCATCTTCTGCACATTTTGCCGGGTACCATTCACAGAATTGAACTTTCCGATCAGGATCGTCTTATCTGACAACACCTCATCAAGCCAGGAGTGTAAAATATTCCTAAAAAGTTTTTGGCAATCCATAGACGCTGTCTTCTTGTGTCTTTATTACTCATCATGCAAATAAAAAACTGTACCCAACAATCTTCAAACGTAATTATTTTCAATATTATTGCAATATTGCAGAAACATCCAAATTCTTTTTTTAGATACTTCACAATTTATTTTTAATCATTTACTCTATCAACGAGACGATCTGATCACGTCTTCTATTATATAAAAAGAATGTTAAAGATGAATATTTCCGATTAAGTACTTCTTTTATCGCTCACAAAACACTTCTAATTTATCTTTATCTTTTCATATAAATTCAAAAGAAAAAGTAGCAAAGTTTTAGAACACTAAATTTTCGTTGGTGGATTTTGAATTAAATCGATTCCACCATGAGAATCTTAATAATTATAAGTGTCTTTTTAGTTTCATCCACTACTTTTTCGTCCGCTTCAAACGCAACTAAAGATTTAAGTGCAGAAGATTATAGATTACCGAGAAATGTTGTTCCAATTCTTTACGATGTTTTATTGGTTCCAAATTTTGAAACTGATACTTTCACCGGAAACGTAGTTATTTATATTAACATTTTAGAAGCAACCCGTTCAATTACGTTACATTCAAGAGACCTAAAAATTTATTTGGAAGACATTAATTTTAGTTGTGAAAGAGCTGGGTATTTGTATCCAACATCCATTGAATTTTCTGAAGATGATCGGCAATTTTTAATAATTAATCTTCCATTTACTCTTGAATCAGGGGATGTTTGCTCTGTTATGATTTACCAATTCGCAGGGATTTTACACACCGATAATGAAGGATTTTATTTGGCTAAGTACACCAATGAAGATGGCGAAATCAGGAAATTAGCTACCACTCAATTTCAAGCTACAGCAGCTAGAAGAGCGTTTCCATGTTTTGATGAACCCGCCATAAAAGCTTTCTTCAAATTTACCATTTTTAGACCACACGATTATATAAGTGTCACAAACACCGAATTAAATTATTCAGAGTAAATTATCCAACAAAATATTTTTAAAAAATTAATCTTATTTGATTTAGGGAAGTCAATGATGTTAGTGTAGTTGACTTTTTTTATCAAACCCATAACGTGATGTCAACGTATTTGGTAGCCATCGTTGTTGCTGATTTTAAATACGTACAAGATGGGAGTCATCGAGTTTTGGGTAGACCACAATTTATTAACGAAGGTCGTGGAAGTTATGCGTTATCCCAAAGCAAACCTTTACTTCATGGAATTGAAGAGATCGTTAATGTTGATTATAGTTGGCCTAAAATGGATCAAGTAGGGATACCAGATGATTATTTTGCGGCTGGGGCTATGGAAAATTGGGGATTGGTAACTTATAGGTAGTAAATTAAAAAAAAAAGTATTACCATAAAATTATTACAATTTATTTTTAGAGAATCTTTCCTACTTTACAAAGAAGGATTAACTACCAGTGATGATAAAGAATTCATAATTTTAATCATGGCTCACGAATACGCTCATAAATGGTTTGGAAATCTCGTATCGCCAGATTGGTGGGATGTTTTATGGATTAGCGAAGGTTTTGCAAGTTATTTCGAATTTTTTGGGCCAGCGATTGATACGGTTGAACCTGGAATGGAAATGGATGCTCAATTTGCAATAAAAAATACTCAATTCGCATTAAGACGAGACAGCTCTCCTAATACCACCCCAATGCGAAGAAATGTAAGCACCCCAGATGAAATTGAAAGCATGTTTACTTTCGTTGTTTATCCAAAAGCTGCGGCGGTTATAAGAATGTTGGAAACTATGTTATCAGCGCCAGTTTTTTGGTTTGCAATAACGAATTATTTAAAAACACTGTAAAAAATGATTTCGTTACATATTTCAAATTTTATTAAAAATATTATTTTTAGTCAATATACAACAGCTGTTTCTGAAGATTTATATCAATTTTGGCAAGAAGCTGTGGAGTTCAGCGGGATTTCTTATTTACCACAAAACGAAAATGTATCATCAATAATGTTGACGTGGGAATTAAACGCTGGTTATCCATTACTTACAATTAACAGAAATTATGTCACCGGTAACATTAACTTTGAACAAAGAAGATTTGTCGAAACAAATGTCGACGATTCATCAATTTGGAGTATCCCAATAAGTTATTCAACCTCCTCCTTTTTAAATTTCGCCAATACTGCACCACAAACCTGGCTTCTCGAGCGATTTGATTCAAAATCATTCGACGTCTCATCAAATGAATGGTTAATTGTAAATAACCAACAATCGGGATATTTCAGAGTTAATTACGACATTACGAATTGGTATTTGATCATCAGTTATCTAAATACAGTTGATTTCGATCAAATTCATCGAATAAATCGTGCTCAATTAATCGACGATTCTTTCACTTTAGCACGGTTTGGTGTTGTAGATTATTTCATTCCTTTAGATTTGAGTTTGTATTTAATAAGGGAAACGGATTATATTGCTTTATCACCATATTTCGAAGCACTTTCTTTCTTAGATATTTACATGCAAAATAGTGCATTTTCAACGCAATACAGGGTAAGAAAATGAATTCGAAATTTTATAATTATTAAGTTAATCGTTTTTTAGAATTATTTCCAAGGCGTTTTAAGCACCACTTTTAACACGGTTGGATTGAGCGAAAATTCCAATGATAGTCATTTAGTGAAGTTATTGCGTCCACAACTTTTGCATTGGATATGTAGACACGGACATCTTTCGTGTCGATTCCATTCCTTGACGGAAATTCGTAATTGGAGAGATAATGGAGTTTTGGTTCCTCCAAATGTTCAAACGGTTTACGCTTGTTCTGCACTTAGAGTTGGAAACCAAGGGGATTTCGATTTCCTTTACAACCTATACTTAACTTCTGAACTTCAAGTTCGCGAAAGAATGATACCGGCTTTGGGTTGTGCCGAAAATGAGGAAGTTTTGGAAAATTATTTAAACATTATTTTGGCGGAGAATAGCACGATTTTATCACAAGATCGTTTGCCGGCTTTAAACGCGATTCATGGAGCTGGATCTATTGGACTTGAATACTTTTATTCATATTTTAAACAAAATTACGGTTTATTTAGGGCGAGATTTTCTGAAAGTCAATTTAGATCTATTGTTAATTCGTTAGCGAATCGGTTTACAACAGAAACTCAATTACAAGATGTAAATAATAATTTAGATTTAATTTTTCAAGTTGATTCATTATTTCTTTTTTTAGTTCCGTGAGTTTTCAACTCTTTCCGATGCAGCTGAATTATTTGAAACAGCTATAAATAACACTTCATCAAACGTGCAATGGGGTACAAGAAATGTTCCACGCATTGGAGCTTGGCTTACAACAAGAAGTAATGTTTTGTAATTAAAAATGTAATTATAAATTAAAAATAACTAATTCAAGCAAAAATAATTTTTTTAATTTCAATTTGATTCTTTACTAGTTATCTTAATCATAATACGTGGTAATATTATCTTTTAGATAGAGAATAGTCCAAAAACTCTTCTTTATCATTTGACACTTTATAAAGCAGATATTTATTATCCTCCATCTGTAAGATTTAATCGAAATCGCTTGATCTTGAATGCCGCGTAGAAATCAAAATCAATTTTAAGCTTGGTTAAGTATTGGTACGTAATGAAATTGTAATAACATAACCAAACAAAATAATAACTCAAATTAACCGTATTTAAGGTAAGTGAAATTTTAAATTGAAATTAAAATAAAAAAAAACGAATAATGAAATTGAAAATTATAACTTAGCTTATCTTGTAGGTTACTGAAGTTCTCGGATAAGGAAACTTGGACTCTTCAAAAGTAATCGGTAACAATGATTCTTGTAACTGGATTAATTGGATCAGGAACTAGTTAATTTTCTTGTTTATTATTAAAGGTGAATAATTTTAATTCAAATAATCTTTTTATCTTCTTATTTAACTCATTAAATAATAAGTTTACTATTTTTGAGGTTATATCACAATGGTGATTGACAAATAACCCAACTTTTATTGCACAAAATTAGCGTGCGCTTCTCGTCACGTTCAAAATCAACTAAAATTTATCAGTTTCGTTTGTTTACTGCTTGGACGTTTTAAATAACGTGTTCTGATTGGTTAAATTCTTCAACTTGAAATTCGTAATTTAAATTTCTCCGATATTGCCAACTTCGAAATGTCAAATGTCACCAATTAAATTTTATCAAAAATTATTGAAATTTCTATTTTAACAATATTTATGCATGAAATGTTGTAGTTTTATTGCTTTAACTTTGTTTTGCTGATTTCAGAACATTTTCTTTTAGATTTCAACGTCCAGCTTCAAATATTTAATCTACGGATTTTCGTCCAATTCTTCATCAAAACTCCCATATGATGGATGGTTTTCCTTCTTGACATGCTAATATTATCGTTTTCAAAGGTTTCAATCGCACAAACATGAATTACAATAAGAAATTAATGAAAAATTAAATTTGTGGTTATGTCACTGTCAAAATTCTACAAAATTACTTCGTATTGATTTTACATGGATTAAATACAATAAAAACTGTAAACGATTAACAATATATAATGAATTTACAACATTTTATTAATACAAAATCAAATTTCTATAATTATTATTCGTAACCTCACCTAAGATTAATGCGATTATGCAAAATTAAAAAAAAAATAATAAATGACTTATTACAATATCTAAGATAATTTCTCCATTAATATTTTCTAAAATAAAATAACAAATAATATAGATGTAATAAATAAATTAAAAATACAACCAATTTTTAATATTGAATATAAAATGAGATTTATTTAAAAGAATAACCGATAGATGCTACAGTCAGTAGTGCCCTCTAGCGTCAAATAGATCTTGATAAAAGCAATTTCATACTTAATTTTTTTAATTCCATCTTTTTCTAACACATCAAATCCGTATTTAACATCTCACTCACATCTTAAAATCAGAATTTCAAACACCACACCTCATCCATAACGAAAGAAAAGTCAACGTTATTTCAGCCATTTTCTATCTTTTTGACAGCTGTCAATTTGTAAGCGTTGCGTAAACGTTTTGCGTATTTACCCAACCCAAGAATTTATTTTGTCGTGAAAAAATGGAATTTAGAAAACGGTCTGAATGCGAAACCGATTCGCAAGAAGACTCAGATTATGAAACAACCAGGTCAAAACGTAAATTATCTCTCCTAACCACGAATTACGACGATGATTTAACCAGAAAACGACCGAGATGTTTCACAAGGAACGCATTGATGGCCCGTGAAAATCGTTTGAGGAAGAAGATGTACGTTGAAAGTTTGGAGAGAAATATGGCGAAATTAACGCAAGAGAATCGGAAATTAAAAAGTAAAGTTGAAAATCAAAGTCAAATGATTAATCAATTAACGAAAGAAGTGAGATATGTCAAAAATGTTTTAGCGAACAGTACGGATATTACAACCATTTTACGTTCGATACATCATAACACAGGTATGTTAGTTGGGACTTCATTGGATAAGTCTTTATCTTTCACGAGTTATGTTTCAAAAAAGCAGTCTGATTGTTCTCTGAGCAACACAGAAGATTTACTTAGCTCCGTAAAAAATGAAATTGATTTTGGAGATTTATTTAATGATCCTGAATTATTACAAATTGAAGAAACTAATGTGAATAACACTGAAAATACTTTTGAAGAACATAATTATATTTCCCGGAATCATAATGAAGGTGAAGAAGATGTTGGGGTTTGTCTTCACGTCTCTAAACATCGAGTATCCTTGGAGTTTTGTTCAAAATGCAATGATGAAGCTGCGGGAGTTTGGAAGAACGATTTTTGAAGCAAAAAATAGGTTAAAATGTCTGTATCAGATTTAGATTATATAATTTTTGTAATTATTTTACGTTTGATAAGTTTTTTTTATTTGTTAGTGCTCATTCCTTACTAATTAAGAGTGATTTTTGCATTTTTATGTAAACTGTGGCTCTACTAGTTAATGTTTTAAATTTTTACAGGAACTTTCGGGTTTTGTTAGGAGCAGATCTTGGTTCATGGAAAGAAATTTAGAAAGTTTTAAAAAAAGGTGTGGTAGATTCTGGTTTTAGTATCAAAAAGTCTTGCTTTTGATTTAAATTTATTGTATTAATTCATTTAAATTTATTTGATTAAAAAGCAAGGTTTTTGCACAAAAAGAATTGGGTTATACTTTGTTATTGTACAAATTAATTTGTTTTCAGTCAACTTGGTTGGTGTTTGCGTGAGAATCTTCGAATCTCTACATTCACCGGTTGAGTATTTAAAAAATGTATCGTTCCAAATGAATCAAAAAAAAATTATTTTAAATTAATAAGATTTTTATTAACATCATGCTATTAATGTGGTTAGTTGTTTTACGTTTCAGCCTTTTCACTCGGTCGCAAAGGAGTGTGCAACTTCAAGGTTCAAGGTTATTAACAGTTGCTGTCACAGTTTATTTGGGTAATAATTAATTTAACTTAGTGTTAAGGTGTTATTTTATTAATTTTTCGCTGTATAGGAATGAGCAATAAATCATTTTGTTTCTTACAACGCTGTTTTATTCTCAAAGCTTAGAAATGGAAGAACGTGATTATTTATAAAGAAAAGTAACCATAAAGAATTAATGCTACTGAATAATAAAGCAGAAATTCATTGTTTTGGTAAACAATAGGACTTATTATTAATTATTATAGGTACTAAAATAAGTTAGGTAAAGAATATAATATATCCTTGAGACTCACCAAGCAACTCCTGAAGTAGTTTTTTTAGTTGGATAATGGAGTTGATAGGTAAATAACGATTTTGACAAGGAAGTTTTAAAATTAAAAATATTAATTTAGTGAGAAAATAGATAAAAACTTTAACCTTAATAATATAAATCATGATTTGAATACAACTAAGACTAAGTATTGAAATCATTGAATGGTGATTAAGAACTTTTTGAAATATCGCGTCGAGTTAATCCCATCGTCCCAATTTCTATTGTCGATGGTAACCTGAATCTATTATTTAAGTCTTTTCATCGAACACGATTATTGTTCCGGACGTTATTTTTATTCTTGAATAATCTTGAGTTAGTAAGGAGGCGTCGTATTGTCCATTGAGGACGAGCCTTTGCGTTACACTTTTGAGCGACCTCTCTCGAATATATCTTTCGAAAAGGTGTCTCTTCTCGGCCAGTTAAATGTTCTCTTCTCTCGCTAAGTGCGAATTCGAGGCACTTTCTCCCCACGCTATTCACAATGGGACGCTAATTAAAAAAAGGCGACCGAAGAGTTACGATGCAACATTTGCACGGTTCCAATTATTATCAAGCAACGGAGAGTGAGAGAAGAAGGTGAGGAAGAAAAGGAGGTGGTGCTCAACCCAATTTCCCGATGCCCCGTTCGAAGACGATGTTGTGGCCGTCGTTTTCTTTTCAGCTGTCAGGAATTATGTTGTTTACAACGGTCTGAGAACGCGGCATCCCCTTCAATTTACGGACGCCGAAAAGCGTTCCGAAGACCTTAATACCATCGCGTTTTACGTGCCATTGTTCTTGAACGTTCGCTTCGGGGACCGGTCGCTTTAATGAGTGACCGAAAATACTGTCGTCGACCGCAACAAAAAAATTAAGAGGAATAAAAAAAAATAAACGTACGAAGAAACTCGAAATGATATTGGTTGTAATTCTTGGTACGAATTTAATGTTGTTTCGAAGAAGTGAACTGAAAGAAAACAGTTATTTTTAATGATAACAGAAAATAAAACAAACATGTTTCATTTAATTATCTCTTTTTTATCGTTCTTGTAAATACGTAATTTCTTATGAATTTATTATAAACAGAATAATTGATTACTTAGAAATTGATGATAAAATTAAGTTGATTTAAGGAAAACATTTCCTCGAATTATCTAATGAAACTTTTTGTGGTTATAAAAAAGCGTTTAAAGATCATTTATACTAAATATATATTGTTTTATGTTAGTAATAACTTAACAAGTGACCACAAGCGTCTATTGTTATTTTGTGACGGGAACATCTAATCTTGATGAAGTTGCATTCATGCCAACTCTTTAAGATAAGTTTCCACATGCATGGATTACTGGCACCAGTTTAGTTGCATGTGGAAATGGGAAAAATCCATTGGTGCCAGTAATCATAGCTTTTAGAACGAAATATTTGGCAAATTTTATTCTTAACAATATTGCTCTCTTGCACTTTTTCTCTCAGACGTATAAATATTGAGAAAAATATGAAAATATGATAATTTGACGAATTTATTGCTTTTTCAAGTTGATGGTTATACTTGGAAATTTGAGCATATTACAAAAAAACTTTTAGAACGAAAGATTTGGCAAATTTTATTTTTAACAATATTGCTCTCTTGCACTTTTTCTCTCAGACGTATAAATATTGAGAAAAATATGAAAATATGATAATTTGACGAATTTATTGCTTTTTCAAGTTGATGGTTATACTTGGAAATTTGAGCATATTACAAAAAAACTTTTAGAACGAAAGATTTGGCAAATTTTATTTTTAACAATATTGCTCTCTTGCACTTTTTCTCTCAGACGTATAAATATTGAGAAAAATATGAAAATATGATAATTTGACGAATTTATTGCTTTTTCAAGTTGATGGTTATACTTGGAAATTTGAGCATATTACAAAAAAACTTTTAGAACGAAAGATTTGGCAAATTTTATTTTTAACAATATTGCTCTCTTGCACTTTTTCTCTCAGACGTATAAATATTGAGAAAAATATGAAAATATGATAATTTGACGAATTTATTGCTTTTTCAAGTTGATGGTTATACTTGGAAATTTGAGCATATTACAAAAAAACTTTTAGAACGAAAGATTTGGCAAATTTTATTTTTAACAATATTGCTCTCTTGCACTTTTTCTCTCAGACGTATAGATATTGAGAAAAATATGATAATTTTATGAATTTGTAGTATAAAGTACAAAAAATTCTTTTTGTTTAGCTTTCTTATCTATCTATATTCTAATTTTTTATTTCTAGGTAAATTCCAACAACAAAAATGTTTCGTTTCAAAACGCATTGTAATTCATTCAATTTCTTTTCATATTCCAAACTCATAAGTTAAACGTTAAATGATTCGTAGAAACTCATTTAAAAAAAACCATTGTAAGTAAACATTTTTGTTTCGAAACAAGTTGCAAATAATAAAGCGATAATAATAAATTAAAGATTACCTCACCCGCAGACGAGTAATTTTTTACATAACTATTTACCTATTTATAGTGTGCGCATCTTTATTTGATTTCACTCCCAGGTAAAATGTCAAAGGAACTAGTTATTTTTTTCGTAGTTTTATGCACCATCGAAATTTCTTTGGGGGCTGTGAGTGTTGAAAATGCGCCGGTTAACGATCCGAAATTGAAAGCGCAGGGTTATACCTGTTATAATAAAGAAGTTGGGCCCATGAAATCCGGGGAAGCTAACAATAATTTTAGTCAAAAAAGTTGTATGAAAGTTAGTTGTAACAATGGTGTCTTCCAATATGAAACGTAAGTTTTTATTTTTGAAATTTTATTAAATAATTTGTTAATTCTTTTTAGTTGTGGTGTTTATAAAGTTGAAGGGCAACCAACTCGGCCACAAGATCCAACAAAACCATACCCAGAATGTTGTAATTATCCTTTTTAATTTTTGAAGAAATTTCTAATCACTTTATTTTAATTTTGGTAGTTTTATCATAAGCAATGAAGTGGTTGATATTTGTCAAATAAAAATTCAAATCACTATATAAACCACGCGTTTCTTTAACAGATTATACTCATTCCTAAAATGGCATCAAATAAGTTGGTTCTTTCCTTCCTTTTCCTTTGTGTTATTCAAATTTCTTTAGCTGCTGTAGCAATGGAGTTCGCACCGGTTAATGATCTAATATTAAAAGCCCAAGGTTATGTTTGTTTCAGCGAAGGGATTGGTTTAATGAAAGATGGTGAAGTTAATAATAATTATAGTCAAGGAGTTTGTGGATCAGTTGGATGTGGCAATGGACTTTTACATTATGAATCGTAAGTTTTAAATAAAGATTTATTTAAAATTTTATTTAATATAATATTTATTTTAGTTGTGGTGTAGTCATAGTCGAAGGTATACCAAAACAGGCAGAAGATCCAACAAAGCCATACCCACAATGTTGTAATTATCCTCATTAATTCTGATGAATTAACGTTGTAATAAATTTGATCAAATATTTTTAAATTTTATTTACACCTAAAAATCATTATTTATCTTCGTTCGAAGACAAAAAAAATCTTATCGCACTTTTGTTGTAACTTAAAACTGGTATAAAAATATTAGTGTTAATTTATTACCATTACCATAAACTAGTTTTTATACACGTTTGGAGGTATTTATACAAGCGCGTTTATTGTATTTACCATATTCAAAGTAATAATGACGCCGAAACTACTTCTTTTTTTCGTTCTTTTATGCGCTATCGAAATTTCGTTAGCCGCTACGGCTATAGAACATGCTCCCGCAGGCCGTAAGTTAGTAGCCAAAGGTTTTAGCTGTTTTAAAGTAGAATTAGGTCCAATGAGAGATGGTCAAGTCTTTGATAACTATAGCCAAGAAATTTGCGGAAAAGTTACATGTAATACTGGATATTTAACGTATGAAACGTAAGTATTTTTTTAAATGTTATTATTTTATTTTATCCTATTTTTTTGTATTGTAGATGTTCTCCGTACGTTGTCGAAGGGCAACCTATGAATCTAGAAGATCCAACAAAACCTTTCCCAGAATGTTGTAATTATCCATTCTAATTTATTGAAATTTACTGAATAAAGAATACAAATTATTGCAACAAAAAATGTGTTTTTGTTAGTTTTGATTTCAAACTCTATAAATAAAAAAGAAAGAAATTTCTTATCTCTTTATTTTATTCTCTTAACTTTGGCATTTAAAGTTAATATAGGTTCATGATAAGCTGTTAAGCGTAAACAGATAAAATTCGTCTGCAATAATAAATTAAAAACAATTTAATCGCTATATATACCACGCGTATCTTTAGATTATTCATTTATTCTTAAAATGGGCTTAAAGAACTTGGTTCCTTTATTTCTTCTCCTTTGTGTGATTCAAATTTCTTTCGCTGCTGTAGCAATTGAATATGCAGCGGTTAATGATCCAATATTAAAAGCCCAAGGTTATACTTGTTACAATAAAAATATTGGTTTAATGAAAAATGGTGATGTGAATACAAATTATAGTCAAAAAACTTGTGGAAAAGTTAGTTGTGGAGGTGGAGTTTTAAATTATGAGTTGTAAGTTTTGTGCGAAGATTTGTGTTAAAATGTTATTGAATTTTTATTTTAGTTGTGGTGCATATCAAGTCGAAGGTCAAACTAATCGGCCACAAGATCCAACAAAACCATTCCCAGAATGTTGTAATTATCCATTCTAATTTTATAGAAATTTAATGAATAAAGAATCTTTATTGTAATCAAAAATTTGTTGATTTAGCAAATTTTATTCTTAACTATATTGCCCTCTTGGACTTTTGCTATCAGAGGTATAGATATTGAGAAATATGTGAAAATATGATACTTTTACGAATTTGTTATTTTTTCAAGTTGATGCTTATATTTAGGAATTTGAGCATATTACAAAAAAACTTTTAGAACAAAAGATTTAGCAAATTTTATTCTTAACAATATTGCCCTCTTACACTTTTGCTCTTAGACGCATAGATATTGAAAAAAATGTGAAAATATGATAATTTTACGAATTTGTTATTTTTTCAAGTTGATGCTTATATTTAGGAATTTGAGCATATTACAGAAAAACTTTTAGAACAAAAGATTTAGCAAATTTTATTCTTAACAATATTGCTCTCTTACACTTTTGCTCTTAGACGCATAGATATCCCGAAAAATATGAAAATAGAATAATTTTACGAATTTGTTATTTTTTCAAGTTGATGCTTATATTTAGGAATTTGAGCATATTACAAAAAAAACTTTTAGAACAAAAGATTTAGCAAATTTTATTCTTAACAATATTGCTCTCTTACACTTTTGCTCTTAGACGCATAGATATCCCGAAAAATATGAAAATAGGATAATTTTACGAATTTGTTATTTCTTCAAGTTGATGTTTATATTTAGGAATTTGAGCATATTACAGAAAAACTTTTAGAACAAAAGATTTAGCAAATTTTATTCTTATCAATATTGCTCTCTTGTACTTTTATTCTCAGACGCATAGATATCGAAAAAATATGAAAATGGTTGAGGAAATGAGATGGAGTTTCAATCTACTAATACAAAAAGAGTTTCAGGATACAAATGAAAAGTGTGTCAAATACAAACTTATAATTTGTTATAAGGCATATTAAGGACGCTCTTAATCTGTACCTTAATCTGCGTATGCGGGAGATCGATACTAAATTATTAACACAATTATAAAACCACATATAATATTGCCGATCTTGGATTATAATTCGATGGTCAATACATCAAAGAGTACTTATTAAATTAAATGTCATTTATCATCTAGCCATAAGATGTATGATTGTGGCTTTTCCCACAAGTCTTATTAATAGTGAATTAAGCGTGGTGTATAATTTTATTATAAAAAATTAATTAATCACCTACAATAACTTTTTATATTCAAATAGAATTCAATAGAATTTATTATCAAAAATTTTTTGTATTATTCACGTTTGTAACTATTTATAAAATCAGTTTTATTATTTTTTAAATCATTCGTTGTAAAAATGGCAAAGAAGTGGGTTCTTTTTTTCGTTTTCCTGTGCATTATTGAAATTTCTTTGTCCACCGAGTCTTACGAAAAAGCTAAAGCAGACGCAAAATTGCAAGCGAAAGGTTTTAGTTGTTTTAAAAAAGAATTCGGACCAATGAAGGATCGCCAAGTTAATAATAATTATAGTCCGAAAGTTTGTGGGCAAGTCACCTGTAATAAAGGAGTCTTAACTTACGTATCGTATGTATTTTAATAAAAAAATTATACTTAATTAATAATTATTTTTAGATGTTCTGCAAAAAAACGTAAATCAAATAAACCGCAAGATCCAAAAAAGGAATTCCCAAAATGTTGCAATTATTAAGCTTTAATTATTATTAACACAATATACGATTCACCGTTATCTTAATAAAAGTAATAATAAAATAATCGAAGCAGAAATTTCTTTTTGTTTTATTACTTTTGTTTAATTATATTCTTTTGAGAAAACAAAATCCAATTAAACCTCATTATTATTAATTAATTAGAAATTACTGCCATTCAAAGTGTATTTGGGTTGAGACTCAATTTATTTTCTCAATTATTAAAATATGGATAAACAAAAATTATTTATTGCCGAATTGGTTGTTCTGTAACGAAATTAGAGTACTAACTGATAAATCGCTATGCACAAACCGACGAAGAACGTACGGGACTTTCTCTTCACGAACAAACGTGAATTTACAATTTCTTGCAGGTGGATATGAAACGAAGTTATTCGATTCAAATTTTAATTTTAAATCCTTTTTATATTTAAATTTTATCTCTTACGAATCGATTAATTTAAATATGAATTATTATATAACGATGATATTAACAATTGTATATATTCTAATATAATAATATAACCAAGTCGTTATTGAATAATAATTATAGGAATTTGTTTTTATATTAATAAAATGTTGTTAATATGTTAGAATTCATTATGTATTTATGTTTTTTATTGTATTTAATCCATGTAAAGTTAATACGAAGTAATTTTATAGAATTTTAACAGTGACATAACCTCAAATTTCATTTTTCATTAATTTCTTATTGTAATTCATGTTTGCCCGGTTGAAACTATTGAAAACGATAATCTTAGCATTTCAAGAATAAAAACCATCCATCATATAGGAGTTTTGGTGAAGAATTGGACGAAAATCCGTAGATTAAATATTTGAAGCTGGACGTTGAAATCTAAAAGAAAAAGTTCCGAAGTCAGCAAAACAAAGTTAAAACAATAAAACTACAACATTTCATGCATAAATATTGTTAAAATAGAAATCAATAATTTTTGATGAAATTTAATTGGTGACATTTGACATTTCGAAGTTGGCAATATCGGTGAAATTTAAATTATATGTCAAGCAATGTCAAGTTGAAGAATTTAATTAATCAGAAAACGTTATTTAAAACGTTCTTGCAATCAACAAACGAAACTGGTAGGTCTGAGTGTGATTTCGAACGTGAGCAGGAGCGCACGCTAATTTTTGTCCTAGATTATTTTAAAAACCAACCCAAGTTAAGTTACTTGTCAATCACCATTGTGACATAACCTCAAAAATAGAAAAATTATTTTAATAAGTTAAATAAGAAGTAATGAAGATTATTCGAATTAAAATTAATCACCTTTAATAATAAAAAAGAAAATTAACTGGTTCCTGATCCAGTATACTATTCCGAAGAATTTTCCAATCCAATCCTTACTTCCGATTCCTTTGAAGAGTTCAAGCTTGCTAAACCGAGAACTGCAGTAAACTACAAGATAAGTTAAGTTATAATTTTCAATTTCATTTTTTTTAAATTTTATAAGATTGACATAGAAGATTGAGAATGAAGAATTGAGGATTCTTGTGTAAGGAGGGCCGTCGTAATAGTTACACAAATAGCCATTAAAGCGGTCAATTTCATTTTGCGGTCGGTAATCGAGCTCGAGAGCGGGAAAAACACGGCTTCCCGAGGCGCATCTGGCCATTGCCAGACCGATCGTAAATCAATTCGACGACGTGCGTCGTCGTCTACGTCGAGAAAGAAGAAAACGCCATAAGATAGAAACGCGGAAAAACGGAAATAAACGGCATCATAGGCCGCGCGCCTGTGTCCGGATTATTATCCAGTATGAAGGTCGCCGATGAGAAGAGAGTGCTGAAAAGAGGCAGTAATAAGCCTCCACTATGACGACGATCTCGGTCATTCAAACGCCCGAGTTTAACACATTCTGTGTTACGGAGAGTTTCGTTTAAATAATAATCTTTTCCGCGAGAGATAAAAGCCTTTCCCCATTTGCCAACAGCATCTCTTCTCGTTCATTTCTTTGCCTTGGACGTGCTGTGCTGTAACCGTGCTAATAACTCCGGGTGTTATGCATACGAAAGTGAGACGTTATTCAAATGAGCAGGGCCTGATTTACAGCCGGTTCTCGAACTCTAAAGGATCCGTTTATCCGTTTCGAGATCGTCTAAACTGATTGTTCGAACGTGACTGAACTACTATTACTATACGCTCTTGTTTTCTAATACATTTACAAACCTAATAAGAATTTCTTTAAGATAAATCTACTATCTATATAGATTACTAATTAACTTAAACAACTTTTACCATCGTCTTGTTTAATGTATACAACTATTCAAAGTCAAAGCTGGTGTCAAATCTTTTGCTTCAAGTAGATTGGAGAAATTATGCATAATCATTGTTACATTTGATGAAAAATTTTGACACTTAACATAATAAAAAAGTCATATCTCTTGTATTTATGGTAATGAAGAAACGATTTTTATACCAAATTAAATCTTAAACCTTGTTCGTTTAAGCCATCTGTTATTATGTATAGGTTGATGTTAAAAAAAGTTGAGAAATATTTCTACAACAACCTAACACTGAATAACAACTAAAACTAGAAATTATAACACAGTTGTTATCAAATCAAAAAGTCTTAAAATAATCCTCCTAGAAACTCTTTAATGATCACATTTTCCCGATGTTAATGTTTAAAATTTATTCAAACGCAATAATATAATCTAATTTACTATAATTTAACGCAATCATTGGTATCGTTAACTCGATAATGTCAACAAAATTCAAATCAACTTTAATTATAACTATTTCTTGCATTAAAATCAATGTTAGAGTAGAAAGTGTACTTTTTTAACTATCTAAAGAGGTGCTTTAAGCAAAAACGTAATTTTTCCGTAGAAATTTCGAATCAACAACGACCTAAAAATACACATTTGCATTCGTCTCGGATGTGCTAAGGTTAAAATCGTTGTTTTAAGCTCGGTATCGCGCCATTCGACCCGATAATATTAAGTGCCCTTTTCCCGTTTTAGACTCTTGAGCGCTACGTGGACGTGTAAGTGCTTAACTGTATCGGTAATTAGTGTTAGATATGTTCGGAACGACACGAACCGGTCTAAACATTTAAAGATATTTTCTAGTTGTATAAACAAAGTAGTTGTATTTTAAGATTTTTAATAAATATTAATTTGGTATTAAGAAATTATATGAGAAAGAGATGAAATTATAACCCTATCTTTTTAACGAGAGTCGTTTCTTAAAATAACCGCGAGTTTTTGGTACGATTCCAAATTTTCTGGGGACACGGTGTTCAAGTCTCCAACGATTCAAAAAAGAAATTATGTTGTTCTTAGTATTCTTTTATACTATATTACATAGTTTAAATGTTTCTTTTGCGCAATACAACATTGGTAAGTACTTTTGAAGAGCTCAAAATAAAAAAAATTAAATAAAATTAATTACATAAAAGGTTTAATCGATGAGGTTGACTATGATGTACGCTCAGCTTTCGACATCGCCTCACAATCAAAACTTTTAATACCCCATAAAGAGGCTTTATTTTCAACGGATCCTTACAGAGCTTTGCAAATAGCGTGTTCTTTATTAGACTCAAAAGTAATCGGAATTTTGGTGACATCAAATCGAGAAAACACCGACCCAGTTCAATCAATATGCGATTTAAAAGAGATTCCAATGTTGGAGGTTCGTTGGAATGATCGGCTATCAAGAGGTGGGACATCAATTAATATTTATCCACACCCCCCAAGTTTAAGTAAAGCTTACGTGGATATAATTAAATTTTGGAAATGGGATGAGTTCACAATTCTTTACGAAGATAACGAAGGATTAAGTAGAATGAGCGAAATTTTAAAAATGGGGCACATTTACAACATAATGGTTAAACAATTAATCGCTGAAGAAGGCTCTAATTACCGAGCTTCGTTAAAGGAAGTTTGGAAATCCGATCACATTAATTTCGTTTTGGATTGTCGTATTGATAATTTAGAAACGATTTTAGAGCAAGCGCAACAAATTGGGTTGATTACGAAAACATACAGCTTTATTATAACAAATTTAGATTTTCATACGATCGATTTGGAACCTTTTAAATACAGCGAGGCTAAAATAACCGGAGTAAAACTTAAATTTATAATTTAATAATCAAATTAATAATCGTTATTTTAAGGTGAGAATGTTAAACCCCGAATCGGAAAAATTAATCAGATTCGCCGAAGATGTAGCTGAGAAAAAACACGAAACGTACAGATCGAATCAACAAGAAGCAGAAAATGTTTTAGCCGTTGATAAACTCCGTCTTGAAACGGCTTTAGTTGCTGATGCGGTCACGTTTTTTGGGTCCGCAGCTTTAGAAATTGATAATTCAACGACTTTTTATCAACCGAACGCGTTTTGTAGCAACTCTTATACTTGGAAAATGGGAATGACCATCTATAATTACATGAAAACGGTTCTTATAACTCAGATTATATTAAATTATAAAATAATATTCATTTTTGATTACAGCTAACAGTCGACGGTTTAACAGGAACTATAAAATTAGATAATGAAGGTTTTAGAAGCGATTTTAACTTGGATTTAATCGAACTCGCCGAAGAAGGCGTTTTTACAGTTGCCACATGGAATATGACAGATGGAATCCAAAAGAAATTATCACCAATTGACAAGGTTATCAATGGGGAGTATTCTTTGCAAAATCGAAGTTTTATTGTTATCACAACTTTGGTAATGATTTATTTAATTGATTTCTTTAAAAATTTATTTTACATTATAAATTTAGACTTATCCTTATGGAATGTTAAAAGAATCACAAGAAAGTTTGAAAGGAAATGATCGTTTTGAAGGATTCGCCATCGATTTAATTCGCGAACTTGGGAAATTAGAGGGTTTTAATTACACCTTTATCATTCGCGAAGATAAAGCTAACGGGGTTAAAGACGAGCATGGAAAATGGTCTGGAATGATCGGGGATCTCATCACGGAAAAAGCCGATTTAGCAATCACCGATTTAACAATAACATCGGAACGGGAAGAAGCCGTCGATTTTACTTCGCCTTTTATGAATTTAGGAATCAGCATTCTTTACAGAAAACCATCGAAAGCACCCCCCAATTTCTTTTCATTCGCGGCACCCTTTGCGATTGAAGTTTGGTTAACTTTAGCAGGGGCTTATTTTATCGTTTCGATTTCTTTATTTGTTATGGGGCGATTATGTCCAAGCGAATGGACGAATCCTTATCCATGTATTGATAGCCCCGAATTTTTAATTAATCAATTTAGTTTAAGAAATTCATTTTGGTTTGCTATCGGGAGTTTACTTCAACAAGGAACAGAAATTGCTCCAATGTAATCTTAATAATAATAATAATAATTAAAAATTAATTAAAGAAAATATTTAATTTTTTAGAGCTTACGCGACTAGAATGGTAGCTGGAATTTGGTGGTTCTTCACCTTAATTATGGTATCATCTTACACCGCTAATTTAGCTGCGTTTTTAGCAACAGAAAATCCCGATATTCCATTCAACAACGTTTACGAACTTAATGAAAGAGCCGCTCGTTTAGGAATTAAATTTGGCGCAAAAAAAAATGGAGCCACATTAAATTTTTTTAGGGTAAATTATAGACCTGTCTTTTCCTCACACTTATCCCATTAATTTGAATGAAGGGATTATCTCAATCTCGTTAAAAACTTTATTTACTTACATAAATAAAGGTTGAAATAAGCTTACCATAATCTTTTAATTACGTTTCGTCATCGGATTTATAAGAATTAAATTTAAAAACTTGCCTTTAGGATGCAACGAGCAAAGAATTCCAACAAATTTATCACTACATGCACAGTAATGAAGATGATGTAATGATGAAGGAAAATAGCGATGGTGTTGATAGAGCTGAAAGAGAATTGTACGCTTTTTTTATGGAATCGAGCTCGATTGAATACGAAGTTCAAAGAAGATGCAACTTAACTCAAATTGGTGGATTATTAGATGAAAAAGGATATGGAATAGCAATGAGAAAAAGTAAGATTTTTTTTAAACAATTATATCTCTTTAAATCTATGTATGATAATTAGGGCACGGAATTTTGGTAACAAAATGATACGATTTCCCCCCTCCACTCGTTTTCAGCAGAAAATGTCATACAAAAGTTGTTCTAAATTAAATTCTAGAACGATTTTCTCAATAAAAAATATATATAAAAATATATATATACAATATTGTTTGAGCTTATATTCTTAATTATTGATCAAATCAAAAATTTTTATTAACAATATTTGTTTAGAATTACTTCAGGAACAGTGTTTGTTAATACAATTTTTTGCTAACTTGAAATTTTAATTTCCCTCTGAATAGTATGCTATCAAAATTAATTATCTCAATAATTATTGTTTTTATCAAAAAATGTTTTAAATAAAATTTGTTTCAATTTCGATTTTGAATCAATTATCTTAATAAAAAATTTTTACATCTCTATTAATTAAGCGTCTAAGTGTAATTATGTATAAAAATGGAAAAATTAATATTTTGAGGTTATCTCCTTAATTATTGATTAAATCAAAAAATTTTGTTAACAATATTCGTTAAGAATTGCATCAGGAACAGTGTTTGTTAAAACATTTTTTTTCTAACTTGAAATTTTCATTTCTCTCTGAACAGTGTAGTACAAAAATTAATATTTTTGAGGTTATATCCTTATTGTTGATTTAATCAAAAAATGTTGTTAACAAAATTTGTTTAGAATTACTTCAGGAACAGTGTTTGTTAATACAATTTTTTGCTAACTTGGAATTTTAATTTCCCTCTGAATAGTATGCTATCAAAATTAATTATCTCAATAATTATTGTTTTTATCAAAAAATGTTTTAAATAAAATTTGTTTCAATTTCGATTTTGAATCAATTATCTTAATAAAAAATTTTTACATCTTTATTAATTAAACATCTAAGTGTAATTAATAATTACATCATTGATAATATATGATTGAGAAGATTTTTTTAAGTGAGGTTATATTTTGATGAAAAACAGTCATATCTTCCGTATTTATGGTAATGAAGAAACGATTTTGATACTAAATTAAAGCTTAAACTCTGTTCTTTTAAGCCATCTAATATTATGTATAGGTTGATGTTAAAAAAGTTGAGAAATTTTTCTTTTAAAAGAGGTTACATTTAGATGCAAGTTTTTGACATATCAAATTTAAAAAAATCATATCTAAGTTATTTATAGAAATCAAGAAACGCTTTTTATAGCAACATAAAGCTTAAAGCGTGTTCTTTTTAACCATATATTATAAAGTATAGTTTGATTATACAAATATTGAAAAAAAGTTTATTTAAGTGATGTTATATTAAAAATTTTAGATTCTAAATATCGACATGCATTAAGCACAGCCGTTCTAAAATTACAAGAAACGGGAAAGATTCAAGATTTAAAAAGGAAATGGTGGGAGGAAAGAAGAGGTGGTGGGCAGTGTATGGTAATTTAAAATATTTTTAATTTAATCTTGTAATAACTTTTCTTACTATTTAAGGGTGATGGTGATCGTGAAGATGCAAAACCACTAAATTTAAAAAACGTTGGTGGTGTCTTTTGGGTAACAGTCGGTGGAACGTTAGCTGCGGTCGTTTTGGTTTTCTTGGAAATGATATTGCACGTGATGAAAGTTTCGATACAACACAAAGTTTCGTTCGTTCAACTCTTAAAAGAAGAAATGAAATTTTACATGCAATTTAAAGGTTTGGTAAAACCAGTGACCACGAGGAAAGGGTCGAAATCGCCGGAAGAGAGCGAAAAAACCAACGAACACGAGAGAATCGAACAACCAACGTACGGGTTCTTACCTGCTATTACGAAAGGTAGCCCGATCGATTAAACATGAATCATTTAGAAAAATGTTTGTGGTTAAATAAATGCTAATTGGTTTTACAAATTGTTGTTTATTTTGGAACATAAATGGAAAAAATTAATGCTAATTCTAAATTTAAATTGGTTGAAATTGTAAAAAGTGAAATTTTGGATATAAATTTCTGCTAGATTTTGACTTGGATGAGAAAATGACTCAGTTATACATTGCGAACTGGATCGTAATTATTCGACCCTCTACTTAGTTGACAAAGGATGATTTGGTGTTTTGTCGTCTGAAATGTGAATCTTTGAAACCCGTGCCATTTATGCATACTTATAGGGATTTCTCACAATTTAATTATGAATCATTTTTTGCTGATCTACGCGCAATTCCCCTTCATCATATGTTTCACATGGAATTGGTACAAACAAGGTACAAAAAATGCAGAACTGCTGGGTCTTGGGATTATTACAAGCAATTACGAAATTTCACAACTAATGCTATCCGACACGAAAAGATAGCATACTCTAATAATTTACATACACGCACGGATAAAAAAGAAATGTGGAACACTATTCGTGGATGTCATATAGGGAGTAAAAAGTCGAAAGATATACCGTCTCATCTTTCAAACGTAAATCAGATAAATAATTCATTTGTTGGTGGTACTCCTGACGTCAATATTAATAACATAAAGGATACGATACTATTTTACTCAAATAACAGCTATAGCGATACGAATACACCCTTTGATCTTCACACGGTAGATGAAGATACTGTATTTGGCATTATCAGGTCAATCACCAGTAAGTCTGTTGGCTCTGATGGCATATCTGCGCAGATGATTGAATTAATAGTTCCTTATGCCCTTCCATATATCACACATCTCATAAACAGCTGCATAATTGAGTCACATTTTCCCTCGCAGTGGAAGTCTGCTGTGGTCATTCCAATACCGAAAATCGAAAAACCTACTGACTTTAAGCACCTGCGACCGATTTCTATTCTTCCTACCTTGAGCAAAGTACTGGAAAAAGTTATTTCCTACCAATTTAAAAACTTTATTATTTCAAATGATATATTACCAGACTGTCAATCGGGATTTGTGCCTGGACGTAGTTGCACAACTGCACTTTTAAATGTCACTGACGATATATTAAAGGCCAAAGACGGTAAAGAGTGCACCGCTTTAGTGTTGTTGGATTTTAGCAAAGCGTTCGATGTTGTTGACCATGATATTGTGCTGTCGATGCTTCACTATATTGGAGGCGGGGAGGAATTTATAAGGTTGATTAAGACGTATTTAATAGACAGATGCCAATGTGTACAGGTCAATGGCTTAATTTCTGAACCATTGAAGCTGAAGCGTGGAGTACCGCAGGGGTCGGTGTTAGGTCCTTTGCTGTTTTGTTTATACACATCTATGCTTCCAAAAGCTGTCAATTATTGTAAAATTCATATGTATGCTGACGACACTCAGCTATACTACAACTTTCCGTTTCGTGAATATGAGGGGGCAGCATGGAAAATTAATAAGGACTTAGCGAATGTCAGTGAATTTGCAAAGAATCACGCCTTGATATTAAACCCTGATAAAAGTGTAGTTATTCTGTTTGGCAGAAATGTGGAAGTCGAGAAATTGAAAGCTAATCTGATTCTTAGGTTGAACGGTTGCAATATACCTATTGTTGATCAGGCAAGGAATCTTGGGCTAGTTGTTGATAATGCCTTTAGGTACAAACAGCACATTACTAAAACATTAAGTGTTTGTTTTTTGAAATTAAAATTACTCTATTCTTTCAAAGATATTTTTAATTTAAAAATGAAAAAGGTGCTTTGTGAATGTTTTGTACTGTCTTTGCTTAATTATTGTATTCCTGTCTACTATCCATGTTTGGATTCCATGGATAGATTGAGAGTGCAAAGAGTGCAGAACGCTTGTATGAGATATATATTCAGAATTAAAAAATTTGAAAGAATCTCTCATAAGCTTAAAGAGTTAACTTGGCTGAATATTCACAATCGTTATACTCTACAGGCTTCAGTGCTGTATCACAAGGTTGTCACAACTGGCTCGCCTAATTATTTGAGTAAAAAGATTCAGTTTAGAGGGGATCTACACAGTATAAATATTAGAAATAAAAATGTTGTTAATCCGCCTGCTCATAGTACAGCTCTGTTTTGTCGTGCGTTTAGCTACTGTGCCTATAAGCTGTATAATTCTATCCCCGTCACCATTAGGGCCAAAAGGGAGGGTGCTTTCAGAACGTTATTGTTTAGGCATTTATTTGAGCGACAGTGACTTCTTGTTTGCTTTGTAGTGGATCAATCTAATTTTAATGCAAGTGGAATAATTTGTTTTTGTTTTATTTCATTATATTATTTTTTATTTTATTAGCTCATATATAAGATAGATTATAAGTGAAATGAAGATTATAATGCAGAATCAATTAATAGTTTTAGTTTTTAGGAGTAGGCATGTACTACGATTGAATAAAAGTGCAATTATTTTTAAGGTTAAGTGGAAGAGCAGAAGCGGGCCATATTATGGTCGCATTCTGAACTTCGCCTTAGGATTTCCACCTGTTTTGTATTTAAGTTATTTTTCTTTTTAAATATTGTTTTTTTTTCTTTTTTGATTATCTTTATTTTGCATTATAGTAACTATAGTTACTATTATTATTGTTTGTTCTCTTTACTCTGGAAATAAAGGCAGTTTATTATTATTATTATTATATGAGTTCTATCCAATAATTGATGAACAGAATGCTAAACATGTTAAGATCTTTGGTAATAATAAGACTGAAAGAATAAGAATGTTATAAACATATTTTCGATTTTGTCGTTTCTAATTAAATTTTTCTTGGTGGTTTTGGTTTGAAGAAAGCGAATCACTGCAATCGTCTTCACCACGAACGGTTCTTTAAGGGTGCTTAAAGGAGAGAGTTTACCAGTGACCCACTTGTCTCGTGAAGATGTATGCCATCCTCGGCCTCGTGGCCAGTCGGTAGCAGCGTGCTGTGGCGCTCACCTGTCTGCAGTTCGTCAGCAGCCAGCACCGGTGGTTTTCTTCCTGGTGCACGACACGAGATCGAGAACTCTGTGTGTCCAAGCAAGTGCCGTTCTTCTTCCTCTTCTTCTTTCTCGTTTACGTTTAATAAAGCGCGCGCGCGAGTGATTTCCTCAAAGTTTTTTTATTCTTTAACGAAGAGTTTAGGAAGATCAAAGGATTTCAATCCAATTTTATGAATAAACTAAAATTGTTATAGGTTTGTTATTTATTTATTAATTAATTAATTTATTTTTTATATTAATAATAATTTATATTAATTTTGTTGTTAAAAATCGTTTATTGAAATGAGGTTCAATTTAAGATGGATTTATGTAATTGGAAAAGAAAAAAGGAAGAGAAAAAAGTAATCGGAGGCATCAATTCATCATCCATCAGTGGATCAGTGAAGTTCTTGGCATGTTTGCTACAATATTATAGTTTGATTTTCCGGTTTAACGCTCTAACGAGTGTGTAATTAAAAAGTAGGTTAGGTTCTATTTCTTCGTTTTGAAAAAAAAGGCACGCTATCGAATTGCAAACTCGTTTCCTTTAAAATGTAATGTGTTAAATTTACAACCTTTTTTTAAGTTTTTCTTGTCATCAAACGTCAATTTGCATTAATTCATTTCTTAGCTTTCAGGAATCAGATCACGATAACGAGAAAATTATTTAGATTGGGTTTAAATGTGTATGTTTTTTAAGGATTTTATTTATATCGATTAATTAATTAAGATAAAGTTTTTTCAATAAAAATTTCTTACAAACTTGGAATGTAAATAAGATCTTTTATTATTATTTTTTGGTCTCGTCCGTGTAATTGCGCATTTCCCATAACAAAACTACACGTTCTGCATAACAGGACAACCCATTAATGAACCTCAGCCTTATTTAGCTAATTATATACTTTACGTAATATTCCTCTTCGATACCAAGAAGCTTTAGTATTGTTGCAGTTTTCATAAACTATCGACTTCCTTTTATTAAGATTTAGAAATAAAATGATTTTAATAGAAGAAGAAAGCGAAGAAGAGGAAATACACCCAAATTTAATAGGAGAAACTCGTTGGGTTTTAAAACAACTAATAATTAAAAGTTTCTCATGCGTTTTAATGTATCAAAAGTTTCTGGGCTAATTGCTGGGTTCAACTTCAATTAAGATTAGGTTTTTTTCTTCTTCCCGCATTGGTTAGTTTTTTATTTAATTAATAAGCTGTCCTAAATTTTAATTGAAACTTTTACTTTGTAATAAATACTTTAATAGCGTCTTTCTATTTCTAGATAATCCACAAAACTAAGAATAATGGACATTGGATGAACAAGAAAATCCGAAATAATAATTAAAGTGTTTCTTAATTAAAGTGTAACAGTTTATCATTCTGATATGAATTCGAGGATAAAACGACTAATCGGTGAGTAATTTATTAAATAAAATAAACTTTTCACTTTAATAAATTGGGATTAAATAGAAAGTGAAAATAGTCGTTTATAAGTTTTTCTAAGGTTACAGCACGCGACTCTTCATCGTTTTGGTCATTGTTTCAACTTAAAAACTGTAAACAATTTCGTCAGAAACGCGATGTCGTAAAGTTTAGAACCGGTATTGTTTTACAATTCTTTTCGCTTCGGCACGAGTTGTCCCATTGTTGTCATCGTTGTCCAAAGAAATTGAGACGTTTGTAAAGAACTTGAACTGGGCTAATAACCGCTAACGTTCGAATTTTCAAAATGTGTAATTTTCGTTTCCTGCTTGGTTAAGACATTTTTATACGTGTGTGCTTATTATTAAAAAACAAGACCTTTGTTTTGACCTACAATTGAGGTTTAGAAATGGTTAAGAAAAATAATAACGGAGATTGAAAGAAAAACCATCATTCTTCTTTTTCTGTAAGATTTTTATCTTTGGTTAACCACTAGAAAATTTATTTCATCTTTTTGAGATTGATAATTTAAGGCCTCCGCAGGAAAAGGAATATGGTGTTAAAAATGAAAATTTTTCAGAGAATAATGTGGCATAGTTTCCACTCAATATATTTAACGAGTAACGTTCCATTCTATTTACTTCTGATATCTACTCTTTGTACAAGCAAAAAACATTAACCGTCTGGTTTCGATAAAACGTAATTAACGCCTTGTTTTCTCCTTTTTCCTTTAATCTATAAAGAAAAATACTGGATCCACACGATCTTTTTTCTTCCACAAACCAATAACTTCTTTAGATAAATTGTTGTTGAAATTGAAACAACGAATTATATATTTTCTTAAAGAGGAAAGTTTAAGCTATGATTTGATACAAAAATTATTTCTTAATTTTCAAAAATAAGACCTCCACGATTTTTTGAAATTTATCTTTTATTACATGATTCACCTAAAATCTTTAAAACATTATTAAATCGGTTTTTATCTCAAAAATTAAAAGCTGTGGGTGAAAATAATATTAATAAAAATTGTTCATAATACATCCACAAAGATATTGTTTATAAACAATATCTTTCTAACTTATTCGCATTTTTAGTTATAAACAATAAAAAACCCAAATCAAGAAGTTCTCGGTTGTGGATAAAAAGAATCATTATATCTCAGAACCTAAAAATGTTCAAAGAAAACGTTTTGGATAAAAATTATTTGTAACCAACCAACATAACATTATCTGCAACAATTTATCTCTCAATTATAATCATTGCCAACTTAGCGGATTTAAAACCCGAAATATTTCAAATTAGGCGCATTTAACAACAAAATCGTTTTTATCTCAAAAATTAAAAGGCGTAGATGAATATAATGTTAATAAAAATTGTTCATAATACATCCACAAAGATATTATTTATCAACAATATCTTTCTAGCTTGTTCGCATTTTTAGTTATAAACAATAAAAAACCCAAATCAAGAAGTAGTCGGTTTTGGATAAAAAGAATCATTATATCTCAGAACCTAAAAATGTTCGGAGAAAATGTTTTGGATAAAAATTATTTGTAACTAATCAATATAACATTATCTACAACAATTTATCTCTCAATTATAATCATTGCCAACTTAGCGGATTTAAAACCCGTAATATTCCAAATTAGGCGCATTTAACAACAAAATCGTTTTTATCTCAAAAATTAAAAGCCGTAGATGAAAATAATATTAATAAAAATTGTTCATATTACATCCACAAAGATATTATTTATAAACAATATCTTTCTAACTTATTCGCATTTTTAGTTGTAAACAATAAAAAACCCAAATCAAGAAGTAGTCGGTTTTGGATAAAAAGAATCATTATATCTCAGAACCTAAAAATTTTCGGAGAAAATGTTTTGGATAAAAATTATTTGTAACCAATCAATATAACATTATCTACAACAATTTATCTCTCAATTATAATCATTGCCAACTTAGCGGATTTAAAACCCGAAATATTTCAAATTAGGCGCATTTAACAACAAAATCGTTTTTATCTCAAAAATTAAAAGGCGTAGATGAATATAATGTTAATAAAAATTGTTCATAATACATCCACAAAGATATTATTTATCAACAATATCTTTCTAGCTTGTTCGCATTTTTAGTTATAAACCATAAAATATAAATCTAGAAATTGACGTTTTTGGATAAAATATTATATTTTTATCTCAAAAATTAAAAGCTGTGGATGAGAATGATATTAATAAAAATTGTTTATAATACATTATAAAAACATAATCCATAAACGATTTCTCTTCATCCAAACCCTATTTTTATTTATCAACATCAAAATTCCCAAATCTCTAAAAACGTCATTTTTTAAATATTTTATTATTACTCAAAAACTAGGAATGGTAGATTAAAATATTGTGAATGAAAATTCTTTGTAATTAACCAACATAATGCTATTCATAGTCAATTATAATCCAACTTTGAGATCTGGGTTGTGAACAAAATATGATCATGACTAAATGCATAAGTTAATGTCTGGGAGGCAACTTTTTTAGCAACAAAGACGTTTCCAGAATCTGCTAATCATGGCAAATTGAAGAGTCGTGATGGTAATACTTGTATAGCAAAGATCAGAACTGACAAGATAAACGAAAAACGACAGCTGGGCAAAGATGTTGTCTCGGAGATGTATCATGATAGGCTGGGATACAAAATACTCGGTGTTGAAGACATACTTATGTAGAATAAAGAATGCTGATGCGTGAATAACAATTTGAATCAAAAAATGGTTAAAGAAATAATACTTCCAAAGTTAATAACCGTAAATGTCAAAAACAAAGAATTAAATCGACATTAAACCCAGCCTTTAGGGAATTATTAAAGGCACATCGTTTCGGTGTACGTTCTGGGCATTATCGTTGGTCGTTCCGTACGACGTTTTCTCAGTATGTGTTATTTTTGCAGCCCGGGGCTCCCCTTTAACGACCATGTCGCCGCCAAATGTATGCGCATTATATGAATCCTTCGATCCCGAGAGGTATTTGCAAGTATAAACGGCGATAGACGACGAACTGTGTGAGCGGCACTCTTATTGAGAAGAGAACCCGCTCAATGTCGACTTTATTTATTATAAATAGACCGTCGATTTTCAATGAGACAACTCAACGAAAATATCCATAATCTAAATGAAAACTGAACAACTTTTCTCCCCACCACAAGTATAAAATAACAATTTAAAGATAAATTTGTTAACTTTATCGAATAAATTTTACGACTAGCATGTTTTATTGGTACCTTCACCGAAGGAAACTTAATGAAAATCGATATTTGGGATCGTTCACGTAGAGAATGTGCGTTTCTTCAATTACGGTTCTCTCTCTTTCTGCTTCTTTCAATTACGGAAGCCGTAAAACTTCTTTCACGCTGATCTTTTTTTTTCTGAACGTTTGGCACTTTTCACTCCTATTTCGTCGCAGCTTTCACTATTTTCCACCAAGTTTCATCGGGTTTTCTAGATAATTGTAATCCACCGCGAATTTCCTCGTCAACAATTATTTTCGATGTCGATGTTGGGCGCGCACTTTCTTTACTTACTTTTTTTTCTCTCTTTCTCCGTTAGAAATTAGCAGCTGGTTGACTGTGAAAAAGAAAACGAATATGGCCCATACGGCTCTTAGCCGATGGCATTTTGAAATGAGTAAGTGGAGCAAATCGTAATATATACTTTTTTTTCGACCATAAGATTGAAATCTCATCACATAAAGATTTTTTTTAAGGAATGTAAATGTTTATGCGTAATTATGTTAGGTGAAGCTCATTTAGCGAAATCGATACTGAGAGGTTTTAGCAGATTTGCAATTTTGATCGTTCAGGCGGGATTATGCTCGGAAGTGCCCGCTTTTGCTAGTTTGCGACCGCTAATCGCGTCGTTTGACACGATTTTTCGAACACAACCAGACCACGACCATCTAACATTCATTTATGTAGAAACACACGCGGGGAGAACCCGTAATTGTATTTAATCACATAGAAATGCTAAGTTCCAGGCTGTTATTAATTGTAGAAACGGTAATTAGTGTGCCAACTTAGTCTGGTGAAGATAAACACAATTTTAATGACTCATATTTTGGCAACGAATTGTATTTGTTATTGATAGATATTCTTGTTTGGTGTATCTCGTGATTCTTTTAAACAACGTGAATTCCTCGCCAATGTTCCTAGGCGTGGTGCTAATAACGCTAAAGTGGTTAGAAAGTCGTCCACTTATGGTAATGGAGTAAATAGGTAAATTTGGGTTACGCTATGGGATATAAATAGGCTCGAGCTACTTCTGGTCACAGAGTCTCTTTGATTCCGAACGATGTAATTGTAAATTTATGCGGAAAGAAGCCGGTCGGTTCGAGATTTATCGTCATAACTCGTCGTCGTATCAATCACCGAGATGTGCTGCTCCGGGTTGATTTTTGTCTTCATACGAAGCTTTAAGATGGAGTTTCTCTAGACTTTCTGGTTTTTCATTTAATTTCTCCCTGCGCATCCAGGGAGAGCGTATTAGATTTCTAACGACGACTGCAATCCTGCTGTTACATTCGAGACACGTTTGGATCGTAGGTGAAAATCTACACAGCGTGTATTCCGGTACAGTTCGACGTCTGATCGGTTTCTAAGAACAAATATCGATTCCCATTTAGTTTCCAAGATCAGCGATTACCAGAAGTATTGATCTCTATACTTTAACATTTAATAATTATCTGTCTCTGCCTAAGTAGCATCCTTACAACTCGGCAAAATATCCCCAAATATCGAACAGAACCTAATTCTTATTCTATCTAAGTTAATTATTGGATATACAGTTTTTTATCACCTCTCGTCTTTTATCCACAAAGTAGAGGATCGGAAAGCTCAACCCTAATCAAACCAGAAAGCCTCGTCTGTTAAAATATAGTTGAATGACATTTCTTTAAAAATTGTTATCCCCACCTTATGCCTTCTAATATTAATTAAATTGT